GAAATTCCAACAGGTGGACCATTCCAAAACTTCTCTGCTCAATCATTTGTCTCAAACAGAGCATTTTGTGGTGCACCCCGACTTCATGTTCCACCATGCAAAAATACTACACTTGAACCAAATTGGAAGAAAGCTAAATATATCATCCCAGGGATTATATCAGTAATTCTCCTAGTGGCCTCCATATCTATGTTTGTACTACGCAGGAAAAGAAATGTGGAAGTTGCAGGAGAGGCTACCTTGTTGCCTCAACTTCTTTGGAGAAGAATTTCACACCTAGAACTTCTAAGGGCCACGAATGGATTTAATGAAAACAACTTACTCGGAAGTGGGGGTTTTGGCTCAGTATATAAAGGGACGCTTTTAGATGGAATAGACGTTGCAGTAAAGGTTTTCAATTTCCAGCTAGAAGGGGCTTTCAAGAGTTTTGATAGGGAATGTGAAATGCTAAGCAATATTCGTCATAAAAACCTTATCAAAATCATTAGTTGTTGCAGTGAACTTGATTTCAAAGCCTTGGTATTGAATTACATGCCAAACGGGAGCCTCGAGAAGTGGTTGTACTCTCAAGACTATTCTTTGAATATCTTACAGAGGTTGAACATAATGATAGACGTTGCAGCGGCAGTGGAATACCTACACTATGGTTATTCAATACCTATTGTGCATTGTGATATGAAGCCCAGCAATATACTACTAGATGATGATATTGTTGCACATGTTGCTGATTTTGGAATTGCAAAACTCTTGGATGGAGGAGATTCCATTACCCAAACCATTACCCTAGCCACAGTTGGGTATATGGCTCCAGGTGATGTACTTGCTAATATAATATCTTTCAGTTACGAACAACATAACTTAAAATGATCTTTTCATCAAATGTCATTTAGATATATATAAGTACAACTCAAATATAATTCGTATTGCAGAGTATGGAATGGAAGGAATAGTTTCAACAAGAGGGGATGTGTATAGTTTTGGTATTGTGCTCATGGAAACATTCACAAGAAGGAAGCCAACAGATGAGATGTTTGATGGGGAAATGGATATAAAGCAATGGATTGCAAACTCACTTGTATTACCAAATGCAAAGATAGATGAAGTTGTGGATGCCAATTTGCTTGGGATTAGGACAGAGCAGGAAGACAATGATCATGTGAGGAAAAAGGATTGCATATCAGCCATTATGAGATTAGCTCTTACTTGCTGTGCAGAATCACCAGAAGAGAGGATAAGTATGAAAGAAGCTATAGCCACACTCAACAAAATCAAGACAAAGTTTTTGAAGGACGCTACTGCAGGAAGAGGTGTGATGTTAAACCGTCCTCTTGTTCAACAACGCTTCAATTAATGGGTCATATCCTATGACATGTATTTCATGCATTTTGGTTTGATTCAATTTCAGTCTTTAATTTAGCCAATGTAGAGGAAGACATGTCGTTTTATTTCCGTTTTTTACTGATTTTATGGTGGAGGGGTGTATTTTCGGGGTTGTAAAGCTACTTTTTACATCATCTTTACACCTTCGAGTGTTGTAAATATGGTTTTTGTTCCAATGAGGAATATGTAAATCTATATATGTATAATTGATTTTGCTAATTTTGACCATTTTTTCTCACTATTTTTCATGTAGGCCCCACTTGTAAAGGATGTAAAAAAAGATGCACACTTGCATCTAAATTTGCATCTCACGGTTGTGATGCAAATTTACAATTGTTTACACCTCTCCATTGCAGGTGATTTTGATCAGTGTTTATTTAACAACATACACCTCATTATATAACCCCCCACTGAAGATGCTCTTATAGTAACAATTTTTTTATTTTTTATTAAAAAAGGAGGAGTCACCAAAGATTTTCATAGAATTATGAATAAAGAAAGAAAAAATTGGTTGGAGAGGGTTTGTTAGCTTAAATTATGTTTAGAATATTCCCAAATGTTGGTTTTTTTTTTCATAGTTCCAATCAAAATGCGCTGTCATTCCATGGAGGGTTTGGTTTGGAATTTTGTGGATTAGGTGATGCCTTATGTGCATTATGTTAAACTAAACCTCCAAATTGATTCAAATTTAATGTATTTTATTCACACAAAGAAGAAAACACCTAGTTGAACTTAGCCAAAGATCACGTTGCCAAGGCAGGTAAATTTGACCACGTGGACTCAAGTCATATATGTATGTAGCCTGTGTAGGTGTTGGTGATCAGTGGATCAAGTTTGCTTCCCTCCTTCCAAATCCATTGGAATTTATTTGATGCGGAATTGCAGACTGTATAGCAATAACTAAAAGTTTGATTAATTGCACTCTACCCCTTAAAAGTCTAATTCCAAGGGTCCCACCAAGCATCATACATTATCTATTTATTTATCTATTTATTTTCCATCTAAACTATTTAAATCAATTTAAAATTGTAGAAGAATATAAGTCTCACATCGGAAATTTAACTAAATAAAATACAAAATATAATGAATGGTTCTACTACTAATAATACTGAGGCTTTTTGTATTAAAACCCTACACATACTGAGCTTTGTAAGTGGTTAAGTTGGGGACAATATCATTGTTGTTAGTAGTAGATCGCTGGCCCATCTATCTGAAATTTAACATAGTATCAGAGCAGGTTGATTGACTGAGCCTGAATTGGGCATATGAAGTTCATCTTTGATCATGATGTTAATTCGAATTTGCTGCATGTTTATAGCCATGGATTCAATGGGGCTGGTATTCATTCAAATGTCTAAAATTCAACATTGCATATTGGATTCAAATATCTTTTTAATAAAAGGTATCCAAGAAAGAAACACCACAGCAGTTTACCCAAAAGAAAGAAACACACATTTTCTTTTCCATATCATCATAGATTCAGTGAAGTCAACAAGCAAAAATTGTATATGCAAAACAAGGAACAACACATTTCAAAATGCTCTAAATTATGCAGAGTAATTGTCTTGCCATCTCCATTTTCCATACCAGCAGAAATTAGAGTTCCCAATCTTTGACAAGAAGCTCTAAACCAGAAACTTGGAAATGTCAAGAAGCCCAATACAGGAGAATGCTTGACAATTTATCTTCACAACTACACCCTCTGTCTGTCTGTCCCTTTCAGTTTCAAACTGTAATTAGCTAGCACCCACCAATCTCTTCCCCCACCTGAAACAATTTATATTGCTAAAACAAGACTAAAACACAATAGAGTAGGTCATTTGGAATACTAGGTAAACCCAATATCATATTTTCTGGTAATTAATTTAACCAAGCTCAAAACAACATATATATATATATATATTTAAGTATAAGCAATAGTCTAAACTACTATGGGAGGAGTTTCTCTCACACATACTACCAAGGTGTCATGAGAGTTTGAACTTTAGAACATTAATTTGCAAGTCAATACTCTTTTCTGCTAAACTAAACCCTAAACAGAAAACTATCATTTGCTGCAAACCCATAAATTTGAATTAATTTATGAAAAATTTGGGTCCCTAGGTGGCCAGGTATTTTTTCTTTTGCAAGTCAATACCAGGGTCCCCTCCCCTGCTAATTAATTTAAGGGTTATGCTAGGGAGACCAACTTTAGATACCAACTCTCTAATAGAGGTGGAGCCCACCAATACAATGAGCTTGTTGTAGTAATAATGCTAAGGCCACAAAGTTAAAGATGCAAGGGTTGTTGCAGGCACTATACCAGATGAGATCGGTAATCTTCAAAATTTAGAGGTTTTTACAATTGGTGGTAATAATCTGAATGGCCTCATCCCATCCTCAATCTTCAATATCTCCATAATAAGAGTGATGCAACTTAGTTTTAATCAGCAAACATAAGCTTTGGGCTTCCAAACCTACAAGTCCTCTATATTGCAGAAGCTAGCCTCAGCGGAGTAATCCCCAACCTCTCCAATGCCTAATGAGTTTATGCTCACCAAGATAGATTTAGGCAAAAACTCATTTAAATGTTTTATTTCAAGCACGCTCTGTGCCTTAACAAACCTTCAGGAACTTAGCTTAGCAATAAATAATTTGACGCTTGATACTTCCACTCCAGAAGCAAGCACTCTCTCTTGTTTGGCTAATTTTACAAATTTGAAATTCCTACAGTTGGCATATAATCCGTTAAATTCCTACAGTTGGTTAATATATTTACTTACACAATTCCAGCATGAGGGGTAACATTCCCATTTGTACTGGCAACGTTAGCAGCTTGGTAATCTTAGCCCTGGGAGGCAATCAATTGAGTGGATCAATTCCAACTTCACTGGGACGATTAAGGAATCTCCAAGGTTTGTACTTGAATGATAACATGTTGCAACTTGCAAGGATACATCCCATATAAACTTTGTCAACTAGATAACCTTGCGCACTTAAATTTGTCTAGTAATCAGCTCTCTGGTTCTATACCTTCCTGCTTGGGTAATCTAGTCACATCTCTAAGAAGTCTATCACTAGAGTCCAATTCTTTGAGTTCCACAATACCATCTACTCTTTGGAGACCTGCCTATATCTTGTATGTAAACTTATCATCCAATTATGTAATCAGACCTCTCTCAGAAGGTATTGGAAATTTGAAAGTTGCGATAGAGGTAGATTCACAAATAACCATTTATCTGGTATTATATCAAGCACCACTGGGGGAGCTTCAAGATTTGGTTCAACTATCCTTGGCAAATAATAATTTGGATGGTCCTATTCCAAGTACATTTCACGACTTGCTAAGCCTAAATCTCTTGGATTTATCCAGAAACAATCTAAAAACTTCATTTGCTAAAGTTCAGTTAGGAACTGTGTTCATTGTTACGGAGCTTCTCCATAATAATTTTGAAGTTAAAGGTTGATTAAGGACTTTCCAGCCTTGTTTACACCTTTCGGCACAAGTTAACACGAAAGCAAGCATTCCTACTTTTCAAATAATATTTGCTATCATGTACCCCACCCCACTCTTCTTTGTTTTGTTATCATATACAGAATCTACATGCAATGGCACAGACCAAGAACATATCTTTATGGTCATGGAGAGAAGTTGTTTCCTCTTGTCAATCACCTTCTTGCTGGTGCTGCAGCTGCAGTACAGTTCTATAGGCACAGGTGCAGCACAAACCAACATCACCATCGACCAGTCTGCTCTTCTTGCTCTGAGATCCCATATCACTAGTGACCCTCACAACAACTTGGTCAACTGGTCAACCGCCACCTCCGTCTGCAACTGGGTTGGCATTACTTGTGGTGCTCGCCACCTCAGAGTAGCATCATTGAATCTCTCGTACATGGGTTTCACTGGCACCATTCCACCACATTTCGGCAACCTCTCATTTCTTTTTGGGTGGTGCTTAAGGAACAATAGCTTCCATTGCATCTTGCCCAAGGAATTGTCTTATTTGCGTCAGCTGAAGTTGATTAACTTCGGATACAACAATTTTATGGGATCCATTCCATTGTGGTTTCGGTTATTCTCTCCAAACTTCAAACCTTCAATTTGTATGGCAATTAGTTTTCAGGTTTCATTCCGACGACTATCTTCAACTGATCTACACTGCAAATAATTGATCTAAGCATTAACCGACTATCAGTTACGCATGTATCAATAATCCATATGGGAATCTACCATTGATCGATCATTATGTTTTAACATCTTGTTATTAATCTATAAGCTTGTGGTGTCTTTTTTTCTTTAGAAAATTAGGGTAATTTTTTCTTACATGTACGTCATCCAACACTAAAAAACTCTCACTTGAATAGATGATGGATTTGGTTTTTAATTTTAAGGGTGGTTGAGTCTATTCATGTTGGCTTTTTGCTATACTCGAAAGTCTTTACAAAATTTATATTTATGAAACTAGGGACTATAGATTGTAAATAATGAATAATATATGAGCAATATTTATGGGCTTTTCACATAGGCGCCCGTTATAACATGACATTTTATAAATTAATATAAAAAAACCCTTCAAACTCAATATTGTATCTTCACTACTATAAAACCTCATTATAAGCCACAAGTTGTTGTGGCCTATAATCATGTTGACCACAAACACGTAATTGTTCACATCGAAGGGTGTCGGTGGCCTATGAAGTGCTGGGTCCCCCCCAGTTTTGGCTATCCCAGCAGCTTATTGATAATAATAATATAAAACAAATATAGTTTTAATTCTACATAGCCACAAATTTCCTAACTGATTTTTTATATATTTAAAAATAACAATACTAGATACCATTTCTTTGTAATTGTACTTTCTAGATGCACTTTTTTCGTAAATCTCTGAAAACCTGTTAAAATGTGCATCTAGAAAGTACAATTGCAAAAGAAAAAAATTTTTGTAAGTGGCGCGTAGTGCCCTTGATTAATAAAAGGTCTTTTGTACACCCGTGTAGATAAGAACATGATGCATGCTTGAAATCCCAAAAATAAAAATAAAATGGAAGAGCTGCAAAATTAAGCAAAGAATGTGTGCACTGATTTGAGACTTAAACTTCTGACAGTAAGAAATTAAAATGCAGAAATTCCTTGATCACTGATTTCAGACATGTTTACTAGAATTAGAATCAAATCTATCTAGAAGAAGAACAGAAAATATAAAAGAAAAACTAAAGAATAGGGAAAACAGATCCTAGTGTATTTATAGGACTCTCTTCCTAAATAAATGGGGGCTAAATAAGTGGCATGGTAGTCCAACATTTCTCAAAGTTGGCAACACACTACTTCCCAGCAACTTCGAATTGTATTTGAAGTGTTGGACTTCCTCACTTTCCAAAAGTCTCTCACACCATCAAGGCTTGCATCATTCTGTAACCATTACACACATAAGTTCTCTCCTAGTTGAATAAAAACATGAAAAAAATAAAGGCTTATAAATCTTTCTTGAGTGAAGCCAATTAGTCATTTTACAGTAAACACAACAGGCCATTTTCTTGTATCGCAAACATTAACCATAGTGATAATTGCAAAGATCCTATCATTCAATTATATATAAAATAAGATTAATCAAAACAAAAAGCGCCACAACAAACCGCTAAGAATTGGAAACAGTAACCACAATAGAAATATTCACACATGCAATGGAATAAACGCTCCCCAACAACAATGCAATCGAGCAGTGACTACCGTTTTTAAGCAGAGATTAGATGAGTTGAAATACCAAACTTTCATTGAAATGAATGTTCAGTTTACAAACCAAGAAAAGTAAAGAAAAGTATGATTGTAAGATGGTAGAGAGCAAAGAGTGAAAAAGCAAATTGAGGAAGAAAAATACGAAATCTATGCATGCACTTGGGAAAAAATCATCCAACTCTCTATGTGTAAAGCAAGAGAGAGCCGAAACAATTATAGAACAGAGTAATCAACAACTTGGAACGAAATGTCGAGTGAACCACTTTTGCCTGGAGCAACCACCTCCTACATTCGAAGCTGCCTCCCAATAGTCTTCTTCACTCTTTAGCAACCACTTCCTAGATTTGAATAAGAAGAGAAAAAAACAAACAATTTTTAAAAAATTAAAAACTGTACAATAATAGAAAATTTGCCTACAAACTATTATTATATTATTTATTTTTATCTTTTACATTTACTAATATATTTTACCGAAAGTAGTATATGAGATAGTGGAGATGATATTTATTATAGAAAGCAAGGGGGGCCCAATATACCTCTTCACTTTGAAGTAGGCAATATTGCCTTGTTTGGGAGAGTAGGTATATTTTGCCTACCCATTTGCCTCTTCCCTTGGAACATGAAAATGTTGATGTGGCAAGGCAAATGAGTTTTGCCTACTCTTTTACCTCTTCCCTTGGAGATGCTCTAAATTATGTAGTTGTCATGGTGTTTTTTTCTTTCTAATTTCCTTTATTTAATGTATTATGAGTCTTTGTTTAGCATACATAAACAAGTGGGATACCAAGAAAAATAGAGAACTTAACAATGTTGAAGGAGATACACCTTGACTCCAACAATTTCAACGGTATATTTGTTGCATTGGCTTGCCTTGATGTGACCATAAATATATAACTCTGCTTTTGTTACAGTGCATTATATGTGCATAAATCATGAGTTAAATGATTTTATTTTTTTCAAAAATTCCAAACGAGATCGGTTCCTTATATCAAGTGGAGATGTTGTATGTGGGGTTCAATGCTTTTAAAGGCCATGTTCCTGTGGCTGTTTTCAATATGACTTCTTTGGCTACTTCGGATCTCTATGGAAATCGCTTCAGTGATGGTCTTCCAGATAATATATGCCATCATCTTCCTAGTCTTTAGAATGGGTATTTTGGTAGCAACCAGTTTGATGGTCCACTTCCATCCAAATTATGGCAATGCAAAAAGCTTCTTAAATTATGTTTACGTGGAAACAAATTCAGGGGAAGCATACCCAAAAGTTTTGGGAACTTGACACAGTTAACTCATATTGATCTTGGCATCAACAATTTGACAGGTAATTGATATTTGGGAGAATTTAACATAGACCCCCTCAAGTTTGGTATAACTAACATTAGACCCCACAAATTTGAAATTGTATAAATTCAAACAAGCGTTAGGCTAAAAGCTCAAATCATTGAGCTTTCTATATAATTGAGCCTGAATAACTGAATATTTTGATTACCAAAAACAAAGAACAACTAAATATTTCTGAAAAAGACATGAAGAGGAAAGAAAAACTCAAAAGCTAAAAGATAGGGGGAAATTTTTTCCTTGACTTGAATATGTAGGGAGCTTTAGCTTGGCTTCATATCAACCATCTTTTAATTAAATAAAAATTTAAGTTAAAGGTTTAGATTTTAGCTTGACCAATAAAAATTTAAGTTAAAGGTTTAGCTTTAGCTTGACCAATAAAAATTTAAGTTAAAGGTTTAGCTTGACCAATATATGAATCATGATTGACGGAATATAATGAATCATGGTTGACTACCTATTGTGCACTGTGATATAAAGCCAAGCAATATATTACTAGATGAAGATATGGTTGCACATGTTGCTGGTTTTGGAATTGCAAAACTCTTAGGTGAGGAGAATCAACCACCGAAACCATGACCTTAGCCACAGTTGGGTATATGGCTCTAGGTGATGCATTTGCAAGCTAGTTTAATATGTTCCAATAGTCCTTAATTATGAAAAGCTTTAATTTATATTTTTCTTTTTGTCATACACATGTATAAGTATTACTCAAATGTAATTCACATTGCAGAATATGGGATGGAAGGAATAGTTTCAACAAGAGGGGATGCGTACAGTTTTTGGAATTGTAGTGATTGAAACATTCACAAGAAGGAAACTAACTGATGAGATGTTTGATGGAGAAATGAATTTAAAGCAATGGATTGCAAACTCACTATTACCAAATGCAATAGCTAAAGTAGTGGATGCCAATTTGCTCGGGGCAAAGCAGAAAGATGATGATTTTGTGAGGAAGAGGGATTGTTTATCATCCATTATGAGATTGGCTCTTGCTTGCTATGCAGAATCACCATAAGAGAGGATAAGTCTGACGGAAGCTGTAGCCACACGCAACAAAATCAAGACAAAGTTTTTGAAGGACACTGCATGACGTGTGCTGTTAAATTAATGGATCCTATGGCATATATTTCATGCAATTCGATTCGATTCAATTTGAGTCTTTAATTCAAGTGGATGGAACAAGTATGATAAATAAATTCATAGCTTCTTACATACTTTGAATCGAGTTGGTATCAGAGGAAGCCAAGCAATATTCAATACCGATTGTGCACTGTGAATAACTAAATATTTCTGAAAAATACATAAAGAGGAAATAAAAACTCAAAAGCTAAAAGATAGTGGGAAATTTTTCCCTTGACTTAAATATTTAGTGCTAAAAACTTCATTTGCCAATTCAGCTAGGAACTGTCATCATGCTTGTAGGGAGCTTTACCTTTTCCAATAATAATTTAAAGTTAAAGGTTTGATTAAGGACTTTTAATCTCAACCATCTTTTAAATCTGTTAGCGTGTTTATTGTTTTGTCCCACTTATATTGAATATTTATTTTTGTTTTGGTGTTTTTAATTAACCAAGAATATTTTGAGGTTTTTGAATGTTTCATCATTCTCTATCTTTTGCTTTATATCTATATATATATAAAGCAAAAGGCAAGAATGGTAAATCATTCAAAATATCAGAAAATGCCCTTGGTTAATGTAAATATTATTAATTAAATGAGGATAATATAGTAAATTCACACTTTTTCATATTAAAAAAATTAAAATTAAAAGAAAAATCAGATAATGAATTCTATTTTTATGGAACACAACTACCCATTATCTTTTTTAATTCTAAAATAAATTTAAATTTTTTTAAAAAAAGCCTCTTGTAGGCGCGGAAGCGCTTGAGTAGAGACTGTATATAGAAGATGAAAACATTCACAAAAAGGAAGCCAACAAAACAAATGAGATCCTTATTGGGGATATGAATAAAAGCAATGGATTATAATGAACTCACCATAACCTGATTCAATGAATTTAAGTCCCCGTTATGCCTAGATAACTAGAAATTATATTTTTTTTGGCCTGAAAGGAGACTGGATTGACTGACCATATATGAATCGTGATTGACGGAATATCGACATATGTGAAGACGCCCAATTTTCCATTCTTCCTTTCTTACAAGACTACATGTCTCAGACCCAAAAAATAAAAAAAGACTACAAGTCTAAGTCTTAGTCGTTGCAATGAAAACAAACGGACAAATGGATTTAACACCGAAAACATGCATTCCCCTTCGGATATATCATTTGAAAACATGCATTCCCCTTTATACTGAGCCAAGCAATATTCAATACCCATTGTGCACTGTGATATGAAGCCAAGCAATATATTACTAGATCATGATATGGTTGCTGTTGTCATATAAAAACGATATAAATTGAAATTGTATAAATTCTACCAAGCGTTAGGCTAAAAGCTCAAATCATTGAGCTTTCTATATAATTGAGCCTGAATAACTGAATATTTTGATTATCAAAAACAAAGAATAACTGAATATTTAGCTTGACCAATGCAAATTTTAAGTTAAAGGTTTGATTAAGGACTTTTAATCTCAACCATCTTTTAAATATGTTAGCGTGTTGACCGTTTTGTCCCATTTATATTGAATATTTATTTCTGTTTTAGTGTTTTTTAATTAATCAATAATATTTTGGGGTTTTTGAATGTTTCATCATTCTCGACTTTTTGCTTTATATATATACAAGATGAAAACAATCACAAAAAAGGAAGCCAACAAAACAAATGAGATGTTTATTGGGGATATGAATTTAAAGCAACAAACTCACCATAGATAATTACAAATTTATTATGCGAAGGAGACTGGATTGATTTATTTTGTGGGTCTGAAAGGAGACTGGATTGATTGACCATATATAAATCATGATTAACCGGATTGATTGACGGAATATCGTGAATCATGATGATTGACGTAAAGAAGACACGTAGAAACAGACATGCGCCCAATTGTCCATTCTTCCTTTCCTACAAGACTACAAGTCTAAGTCGATGCAATGAATGGACCAGCGAAAACAGACAAATGGATTTAACACCGAAAACATGCATTCCCTATGAAAGCTCTTGAAAGCCCCTTCAGATATACCAACTGAAATTGCACCGAGCCAAAACCACGACTTCCAAGTAAGTTCCTTTCGTTAAATCCATTTGTCCATTCTTCCTTTCTTTACGAGTCTTAGTCGCTGCATTCGGCTACTCGCGAACTTCCTCCCCCAGGGTGCAATCCCAGTCTTTGTCAACTTGTTCTGCCTTCATAAATTGGCACTGCAACAAATTATTCAATCATTTCAAGTTTCCAATCTCGGGGGGAAAAAAGGAAAACGAAAAACACTTTCTGTTTTAAGTGCTCATGGAGAGACGTTTCCTCTTGTCAATAACGTTGTTGCTGCTGCAGTACAGTTCTATAGGCACAATAGCTGCAGCACAAACCAATATCACCACGGACCAGTCTGCTCTTCTTGCTCTGAAAGCCCATGTCACTAGTGACCCTCACAACATCTTGGTCAATTGGTCAACGACCACCTCTGTTTGCCATTGGGCTGGCGTTGTTTGTGGTGCTCGTCACCTCAGAGTAGCATCATTGAATCTCTCGTACATGGATCTCACAGGCACCATTCCACCATACTTAGGCAACCTCTCATTTCTTGTTGAGATGGACTTAAGAAACAACAGTTTTCATGGCACCCTGCCCCATGAATTGTCTTATTTGCGTCGCCTCAAGTTTATTAGCTTCCGATTGAACAATTTTATGGGATCCATTCCATCGTGGTTTGGGTCCTTCCCCAAACTTCAAATCTTCGGTTTGCGTGGCAATCAGTTTTCAGGTTCCATACCTGCGACTATCTTCAACTTGTCTACATTGCAATGCATAAATCTAAGCTTTAACAAACTATCAGGTATGTATGTGTCAACAAGGTATCTAGACTCTATTGTTGATCTATCATTATGTTTCAACATCTTGTTATTAATCTATAAGCCTAATATGTTTTTTTTTTCTTTAGAAAATTATGCTAATTTTTTCTTACTTGCAGGTCATCCAATACTTAAAAACTTTCACTTGAATAGATTATGTATTTGGTTTTTAATTTTAAGAATGGTTGAGTCTATAATGTAGGTTTTTTTTAATATACTTAGAAAGTTTTTACAAAACTTACATTTATGAAACTAGTGAGTACATGTTGTAGACTACAATAATAAAACTAGTTGGGTGTCGGGGGGAAAATACATAGATGATAGATTGTAAATAATAGGGAATATGTATGACCTTTTCACATGGAGGCCCATTATAACATGATATTTTATAAATATAAAAAACCAAACCTTCAAATCTAATACTATAGAAAAATTCCATATTGTATCTTCAAGTGAAAAAATTGTAACATATTAATAAACCAATTAGAAAGTGACCAAAGTGACTAGTTGAGAGTTTTTCCCCCCCTCCAAAATAGCCACTCTAACAGCTTTTCTATAAATTATGCAGTGTGGTGTTTTTCTAATTTCATTTATTACATGTATTCTGAGTCTTTGTTTGGCATACTTAACAGGGGCGATACCCAGAAAAATAGGGAACTTAACAATGTTGAGGATGATATACCTCGACTCCAACAATTTCAATGGTATATATATTTGTTGCATTGCCTTGATGTGATACATTTATATATGACTCCGCTTTTGTTGCAATGCATTATATGTGCATAAAACATGAATTTATCGTATAAATGTGCACATATCGTAATGATTTTTCAGAAATTCCAAAAGAGATTGGCTTTTTAGATCATGTGGAAGAGTTGTTTGTACAAAACAATGCCCTAAAAGGCCCTGTTCCTATGGTTGTTTTCAACATGTCTTCTTTGACTACGTTGACTCTATTTGGAAACAACTTGAGTGGTGGTCTTCCAGACAATATATGCCAACATCTTCCGAATCTTCAAATCTTGAATTTGGGTCGCAACCAGTTTGATGGTCCGCTTCCATCCAAATTATGGCAATGCAGAGAGCTTCTTATACTTCGTTTGGGGGCAAACAATTTCAGTGGTAATTGATATTTCATTATGTTAATCCAATTATGATTTATCTTTTTTATTTTGGTTGCATAATTTATCTTTATTTAACTATTTCATATTTCAGTAAATGAGGGAGATAGTTAATCATGAATATAACAATTTTTTTGTCAGAATCGCTGGAAAATTCATTAGAATCAAATAGCAAGGTTTACAATTAAGAATATAACATATTGACTTGCCTAATAAACGTTCTGTCTAAGTCAGTATGTTCAAATCTAAGGTTAACCAAAGTAAGAAGAAGAAAAAGAAGAAGAGGTATAAAGACATTCAAACAAAAACGTGTTTTGCTCAAGGGAATATTACATTTTGTAAACCATATATTTTCATCCCCAAATTATGGCCAGATTTCTTAATTTGGTTCAAACACAAAACTTTTTAGAGATTTCCGTGTAAATATTGTTGTATTAATTAATATTATGAGTGTGACATTTTATACTAAAGGTCATGAACAAGTAGATAACGTTAGATTAGATTAATAATGTGAATGGCCTCATCCCATCCTCAATCTTCAATATCTAAGTCAATATTCTTTTCAACTAATGCTAATCCTACAACATTTGTGAAATTGTGACAGGCACTATACCAAACAAGATCGATGATCTTCCAAATTTAGAGTTGTTGTCATTCGAAGGTAACAATCTCAATGGCCTCATCCCATCCTCAATCTTCAATATCTCCACGATGAGGACACTGGGGCTTTCTTATAATCAGCTATCAGGTAGCCTCCCAGCAAACATAGGCCTTGGGCTTCCAAACCTACAACTCCTTGCTATAGCAGCAAATGACCTCAGTGGAGTAATCCCCAACCTCTCCAATGCTTCTACGCTCATCGTGATAGATTTGGGCCGAAACTCACTTACAGGGTTTATTCCGAGGACACTCTGTGCCTTAACAAACCTTCAGTTTCTTAACTTAGAAATGAATAATTTGACGATTGATACTTCCACTCTTTCTTGTTTGGTTAATCTTAGAAATTTAACATACCTAGTTTTGGCAAATAATCCGTTAAATGCCAGATTTGATGATTCCTTCCAGAATTGCTCTACATCGTCGCTTCAATATATTAAATTATTCAATTGCAACATGAGGGGTAACATTCCCATTGGTATTGGCAACTTGAGCAGCTTGATACACTTGAGCCTAAGAGACAATAAATTGAGTGGATCAATTCCAACTTCTGTGAGGGCACTAAGGAATCTCCAAGGTTTGTATTTGGATGGTAACAAGTTGCAAGGATACATCCCAAATGAACTTTGTCAACTAGATTACCTAGCTTACTTATCTCTGGGTGGAAATCAACTCTCTGGTTCTATACCTTCCTGCTTGGGCAATCTAGCCGGATCTCTTAGAAATCTATCACTGGAGTCCAATTCATTGAGTTCCACAATACCATCTACTCTCTGGAGACTGGCCTATATCTTGTATGTAAACTTATCATCCAATTCTCTAATTGGACCTCTCTCACAAGATATTGCAGAGTTGAAAGTTGTGGTAGGCGTAGATTTATCAGATAACCATTTATCTGGTGTTATACCAAGCACCATTGGGGGTCTTTTGGATTTGGAAATTCTATCCTTGGCACATAATAATTTGGATGGCCCTATTCCAAGTTCATTTCAGCACTTGATCAGCCTGGAATTCTTGGATTTATCCAGAAACAATCTGTCTAGCGTGATCCCAAGGTCTTTAGAAGCTCTCTTACATCTCAACTACCTGGATTTGTCCTTCAACAGGCTCCAAGGAGAAATTCCAACAGGTGGACCCTTCCAAAACTTCTCCACTCAATCATTTGTCTCAAATAGTGCACTTTGTGGTGCAGCTCGATTTCATGTTCCACCATGCAAAAATAGTACACTTGAACCAAATTGGAAGAAATATAAATATATCATCGCAGGGATCATATCAATAGTTCTCCTAGTCACCTCTGTATCTATCTTTCTACTACGGAGGAAAAGGAGTGTAGAAGTTCCAATAGAGGCTACCTTGTTCTCTGAACTTCATTGCAGAAGAGTTTCACACCTTGAACTTCTAAGGGGGACAGATGGATTTAATGAAAATAACTTACTTGGAAGTGGGGGTTTTGGCTCAGTATATAAAGGGACACTTTTAGATGGAATAGATGTAGCAATAAAGGTTTTCAATTTGCAGCTAGAAGGGGCTTTCAAGAGTTTTGATAGGGAATGTGAAATGCTAATTAATATACGTCATCGAAATCTTATCAAAATCACCAGCTATTGCAGTGAAATTGATTTCAAGGCCTTGGTATTGAACTACATGCCTAATGGGAGCCTCGAAAAGTGGTTATATTCTCAAAACTCTTCTCTGAATATCCTAGAGAGGATGAATATAATGGCAGATGTTGCAGCAACAGTGGAATACCTTCATCATGGTTATTCAGTACCTATTGTCCACTGTGATTTGAAGCCCAGCAATATAATACTAGATGATGATATGGTTGCACATGTTGCTGATTTTGGAATTGCAAAACTCTTGGGTGGAGGAGATTCTATAACCCAAACCATGACCCTAGCCACAGTTGGGTATATGGCTCCAGGTGATATACTTGCTAATTTAATATCTTTCAATTCTATACATGTTGTCCTTAATTATGTATAATTTTCATTTCATCATACACATGAATATATAAGTATAATTCATAATGCAGAGTATGGATTGGAAGGAATGGTTTCAACAAGAGGGGATGTGTACAGTTTCGGAATTCTAGTGATGGAAACATTCACAAGAAGGAAGCCAACATATGAGATGTTTGATGGGGAAATGAATATAAAGCAGTGGATTGCAAACTCACTAGTATTACCAGATGCAAAGATAGATGAAGTTGTGGATGCCAATTTGCTTGGGATTGGGACAGAGCAGGAAGAAGATGATCATGTGAGGAAGAGGGATTGCATATCAGCTATTATGAGATTAGCTCTTACTTGCTGTGCAGAATCATCACAAGAGAGGGTAAGTATGAAAGAAGCTGTAGCCACACTCAACAAAATCAAGACAAAGTTTTTGAAGGACGCTGCTGGAGGAAGAGGTGTGCTGTTAAACCGTCCTCTTATTCAGCAGGGCTTCAATTAATGGGTCCTATCTCATGACATGTATTTCATGCACTTTGATTTGATTCAATTTCAGTCTTTAATTTAGACAATGTAAAGAAAGGCATGCCGTTTTATTTTAGACTGATTATATGGCGGAGTGTGTAGACTTATTATATAATATACTGGTCTTGGTTGTTGTTATGTTATCATTATGATAGGAGGGTTTGTTGTGTTGTGTTGGGGCTACAACCACGATCTCTTGGCAAACAACGGCTGATTACGGCAGCTAGGCCTCCCACCCTATTTTTGTTGTGTGCAAACAAACAAGTTGGGTTTGGACCCGTTTGGGAGCTGTTAGCCTAAAAGCTAAAATTATACACACGTGATTGATATATATATATATATATATGACGGGCCTAAGCCCAACAAAGCAAAAATACTTTATTGAAGTTGCGTATCCGGTTCTTTAAAAAAAACAGAAGTTATTTTATTTTATATTAAAAAAAGACAAGTCACCAAAGATATTATGAATAAAGAAAGAAAAAATTGGCTGGAGAGGGTTCGTTTGCTTAAATTATGTTTAGAATATTCCCAAATGTTGGTTGGTGTTTTTTTTTCAAAGTTCCAATCCAAATGCGCTGTCATTCCATGGAGGGTTTGGTTTGGAATTTTGTGGATTAGGTGATGCCTTATGTGCGTTATGTTAAACTAAACCTCCAAATTGATTCAAATTTAATGTATTTTATTCACACAAAGAAGAAAACACCAACCTGAACTGAGCCAAAGATCACGTGACGAGGGCAGGTAAATTTGACCACGAGGACTCAAGTCATGTATGTATGTAGCCTGTATAGGTGGTGGTGGTGATCAGTGGATCAAGTTTGCTTGCCCTCCTTCCAAATCCATTGGAATTTATTTGATGCAGAATTGCAGACTGCAGAGCAATAACTAAAAGTTTTGATTAATTGCACTCTACCTCTTAAAAGTCTAATTCCAAGGGTCCCACCAAGCATGACCCATTATATATATATATATATATATATATATTTCTATCTATGCTATTTAAATAAATTTAAAATGGTTGAAGAATATGAGTTCCACGTCGGAAATTTGACTAAATAAAATACAAAATATAATGAATAATTCTACTACTAATAATACCGAGGCCTTTTGTGATAAAATCCTATACTTACTGGGCTTTGTAAGTGATTAAGATGGGGATAATATCGATGTTGTTAGTAGTGGATCGCTCGCTCGACTCTCTGAAATTTAACAAAAATTAACTAGTACTATACCAAATGGTTTGGACTGGAGCTGAGTGGAAACCTTTCATATTAGCAGCAGGTTCATACTTGCAATTACTCCTAGAGAGGAGAGAACCTCTTTGACTGAGGTCAGAGGTGGATATGACTGTAAGGGTTTTTAGTCAAAGGTAATGTAGTAGGAGGGCATTTTTTTCTTTCTGATATGAAGTTCATCTCTTGATCATGATGTAAATGTGAATTTGCTGCAGGTTTATAGCCATGGATTCAATGGGGCTGGTATTCATTCAACATTGCATATTTACCCAAAAGAAAATGTGGTCAACTGCCAAAAACACCACAGCAGTTTACCCAAAAGAAAGAAACACACATTTTCCATTCCATATCAGCACAGATTCAGGGAAGTCAACAAGCAAAAATTGTGTATGCAAAACAAGGAACAACACATTTCAAAATGCTCTAAATTATGCAGAGTAATTGTCTTGTCATCTCCATTTTCCATACCAGCAGAAATTAGAGTGCCCAATCTTTGACAAGAAGCTCTAAACCAGAAACTTGGAAATGTCAAGAAGCCCAATACAGGAGAATGCTTGACAATTTATCTTCACAACTACACCCTCTGTCTGTCTGTCCCCTTCAGTTTCAAACTGTAATTAGCTAGCACCCACCAATCCTCTTCCCCCACTTGAAACAATTTATATTACTAAAACAAGACTAAAACACAGTAGAGTGGGTCAGTTGGAATATTAGGTAAACCTAATATCATATCTTCTGGTAATTAATTTAACCAAGCTCAAAACAACAGATTTTTATTATTATTATTATTTTTAAAAAGTATAAGCAATAGTCTAAACTACAATGGGAGGAGTTTCTCTCACACATACTACCAATGTATCATGAGAGTTCGAACTTTAGAACATTGATTTGCAAGTCAATACTCTTTTCCGCTAAACTAAACCCTAAACAGAAAACTATTATTTGCCGCAAACCCATAAATTTGAATTAATTTCTGAAAAATTTGGGTCCCCAGGTGGCCAGGTCTTTTTTCTTTTGACCGGGGTCCCCTCCCCGGCTAATTAATTTAAAGCCCAAATAAGCTCATTCATGTCTGGCTGGGCCAAAATCTATCCAACCAATACAACAAATGACTGAAATTACCACCAAAACAAGAAAAACGCAAGATGTTTTTGGTTCACATGTAAACCTTGTAATTTTGAAACTAAATAAGCCATGTAAAATTTCTTCACTGGGGAAAAAATTGAAAGAAATTTCGCAATCACCGCATCAGTCACCGGTGAAATTTAAGAACCTTGAGTGAGTCAGAGCAGCTAGTCAACCAAACCTGTCCAACTTCTGTTGTCCTTCAGTTGTCCTCCAACTGTTACACTTCCTCCCGCCGTTAGATTTTTCCGTTAAACTTAACGCCTTAATCTCCCACTTCACTTGCTCCACTTACTAAACCCATAACATTGACTAGTGCCTGCCCCTGTTTTCTCATCCCTCCATTTCTCTCTCTCTCTCTCTCATGGACAACAAAACAGGAGGCAGAGTTTGAGAACTGAAACCCAGTTGCAGAAAAAGAAAATGAGAATCTTGTTGAGGTTTTTGGTTCTTCTGGTGCTGATTACAATATCAGAATCCAAATGCAACAGCACAGACCAAGAACAGGTCTCCAAGGCTTTCAAATCAGTCGCAGGTTTCAATCTCTCTTGGCTTCATCAACAAGGATATCAATCCAACTGTTCAAGCCCGCCCATCACAGAAATAAAGCTCCCCTCCAGAAATCTCAGCGGGATCATATCATGGAAGTACCTCAGAAACATGTCACAGCTGAGCACCCTTGATCTCTCAAGCAACAATCTCAAAGGCTCTGTTCCAGGTTGGTTTTGGTCTCTTTCAAGCTTGGTCCAAGTCAATCTGTCCAAGAACAGGTTCGGAGGGAGCTTTGGGCCCGAACCCATCTCGGGAAATGGCTCCTTTTCCTCGGTCCAGGTGCTCAATCTCTCAACCAACAGGTTCACCAACTCTGTTCAGCTTTCTGGTTTCCCAAAGCTTAGAGTTCTTGACCTTTCTCACAACGATTTGGGCACTCTGCAACCATCTGCTTTCGCCAACCTCACCAATCTCCAGTACCTCGACATCTCAAGCTGCAAAATTTCAGGCGACTTGAAACCCATCTCTGTTTTGCGCACATTGAGCTACCTAGACGTCTCAGACAACAGCATCAATGGTACTTTCCCTTCAGATTTCCCTCCCCTTAGCAGCCTCAAATTCTTGAACATTTCGTTCAATAACTTCACAGGCATAGTTGGGTCAGAAAAGTACCAAAAATTTGGCAAAGCCGCTTTCATCCACGCCGGGAAAGATCTCACCTATTTCAACACTTCCAAAACCAAAGCCCCAAGCTTTCACAATTCCGTCGCAAACCCACCTCACAAACCCCTCCAAAAACACAAACCCACAAACCAAATTAAACCCATCCACAGAAAAACCAAAAAGACTCTGATTATTATCCTATCTTCTGTATCTACATTTTTAGTCCTTGTATCCATAGGCATTTGCATAGCGTACAGATGTAGAAGAAAGCAAGTGGCCAAAAAGCACAAATGGGCAATCTCAAAACCGGTCCAATTGGTCCCTTTCAAGATCGAAAAATCAGGGCCCTTCTCTTTCGAAACAGAGTCAGGGACTTCCTGGGTTGCAGACATCAAAGAGCCGACTTCAGCTCCGGTGGTTATGTTCGAGAAGCCATTGATGAACCTCACCTTCAAGGACCTGATCGCTGCCACGTCGCACTTCGGCCGGGACTCCCAGCTCGCCGAGGGCAGGTGTGGGCCCGTCTACACCGCCGTACTCCCCGGAGACCTCCACGTGGCGATCAAAGTCTTGGAAAACGCCAGAGACGTTGATTATGATGACGCGGTGAACATGTTTGAAAATCTGTCGAAGCTCAAGCACCCCAACCTGTTGCCTCTCTCCGGTTACTGCATTGCAGGTAGTGTACAGTCACTCTCATCTTCCACACCAAACGCATTTAATGAAACACACGGGTTTTTATTACAATGTCGTAAATGACAAAGCCCGTACGTACGACACTGGTTTTGGCACCATCGTCACGTAAATTTAGTTATTAGCACAGCACAGAACAGGCTATGGTTGCAAAACATGTAAATTTGTTACGGTGCGAGTGCTTTACACCGAATGGTTTCTCCATTTTTGTTTTTGGCAGGGAGAGAGAAGCTGGTGTTATATGAGTTCATGGCAAACGGGGACTTGCACAGGTGGCTGCACGAACTTCCAACCGGGGAGCCCAACGTGGAGGACTGGACTGGTGACACATGGGAGCAATACGGGGCCTACTCACCCGAAAAGAAGGGTTGGCTCACGCGCCACCGCATTGCAGTCGGGATAGCGCGTGGACTGGCGTACCTACACCACGCTGGGTCCAAGCCCGTAGTCCACGGCCACCTCGTAACTTCCAACATATTGTTGGGGGCAGATTTCGAGCCAAGAATAGCGGATTTTGGATTGCGAAATGTCGGAAGCCACATAGATATTGGTGGCAGTGGGGCGGAGACGGATGTGTATTGTTTTGGGGTGGTGTTGATGGAGCTGTTGACGGGGAGGACCGGGACGGCGGAGATGGTGGTATGGGTGAGAAGGCTGGTGAGGGAGGCTCGTGGGATGGACGCGCTGGACGAGAGGTTGAGAGAGAGTGGGGAATTGGAGAGGAAGATGGTGGAGAGTCTCCGAGTTGGGTACTTGTGTACGGCAGAGTCACCTGGGAAAAGGCCCAGCATGCAACAGGTCCTGGGTTTGCTCAAAGACATACATCCCAGTCCCACTGTCACCATGGGCTTGGGCTAACTCCACCCCCTCCTTCTCACGCGCTATGAATTCGCGTGGAATTGGGAAATTAGAAATGAAAACGAGACGCTTTTTTATTATCTATTTTTCCTTTTTTTAATATTCAAGATCAAAGGATGAATGAAGGGGACCACGTTTGGTTGTCTCAAATTTAAGAATGTAATTATTTTATTTTCCACATTTGTGACATGGATACAAAAATCTAAAGAAAAGATAAAGGGTTTTGGGCCCGCGCATGAAAGCATGGGCGGGGATGGTGGTGGGAGAGAGATTGTTGAGGTTTAGGTGATTTGAGACTGCGCAGAGAATCCCACTTATTGCTTGTCTGTTCTTGTGAATGGGTTCTTATCATCAACACTTTACCTTTTATTTTTTAAGTTTCTTGAGTTTTCTTTTTCCCCCTTTCTTTTTGTTTCTACTGTCTGCTCTGCTTTATTCTTTTCATCTTTTTGGGTTTTTGATTGTTTTCATTTCCCAAAGAAAAAGCGAAAGGAAGAAACAAGATTTGTTAAGATACTTTATACCTGGATAGTTGGGTTCGATAGATACCTCTTCCTATGCATTTACTCTCATCTCATCTATGCGTGACAGTAATTACGTGTTTAGGCTGCCTTCATTTTGCTGGAGTCTAGTGGGAGTGGGGCGACGTTTGTTTGGCCCACGCTAATTGGTTTGGCTGTACGTTAAGGTCTAGTTGTTGGATTTGTTCAATGACTTGACACCACGTTGTTCTTGTCGTCAACCTTTTTGGCTATTTTTGTCTGCAGAATCGGCCAATGCAAATTCCATTTGAGGTATTGCGCATGGAAACCCTAGCTGCAATGTGAGCAAACATACAAGTTGACTGATTTTGTACAAAAGTATTGTCCACGGAAATGCTTCTAGTTGCAAGGTTACGCTAGCAGGAATTGTTCATTATCTCAAGCCGTTGATGTATTGTGAGAACCCGAGCATCAATAATAACACATAGAGAGCTTTGTATATGCCGTGTTGGTAAGATTTTGATTATGTTTAGTCGCTAATTAATACATTGCATGTCATTGTTAAAGCCAAAGTGGAGAGCTTTTCCGAGTCAGAAATGGTGTGTATAGGTCATTGTCCAACTTTATTAGTTTGAAGTCTATGTCCAAAGCTCAGATAACGCGGTGGATCTCATTCTCACTCCTAGCTAGGTAAAGGTAATATAAAGTAAAAAGCTTAAGTGGTCGATCGTCCGGTAGTTATCACTCATGATTAAGCTCCACGTCTTTTGATCTGACATTTTCAAAAGTCTGTGGGAACTTGGAAGACTAGAATTAGAAGAATTTTCATGCAACGCGTTATCAAAGCTATCTGTAGAACAAATTAAAACCCAAAAGCAAAAGAGATCTGGGTAATTTTTTAAAGCAGACAACGATAGTGAGAGAGAAAGAGAAAGCTGATCAAGAATTCCGTGCCCTGTATGTGGTTTCTTGTCAGCACTGGCTAATTCTTTGATGTCTTTTTAGGATCGAACTATAGAAATTCAGCCCTTTCATGTGCATTTTAATAACAAGGTTGGTACATAGAGTCAAGTAAGAAATTGAAAGATATTAATTTCGTTGTCACATCACTTAGCCTCACAAGCCACTATATGCACCAAGTGTACCGCAAATCCACATCACAATAAGGTGATTTAATGAAGAGTGTTTGTCAAGTTTGACCTTCTTACCCTTTGGATATCGACCCTTCTCTTTGTACAATCCATCACATATATGTTACTCAAATGTTATGTACATGCCCCCTGTGCTTTTACGTTTATCTCAGATTACCACCTGTGGTGGAAAACGTCTCAAAGTACCCCCCAATGTATAAATAACCGTCTCAATTTACCCCATCCGTCAAATTTTTTGACGGTCCGTTACGAACAGTGGGCCCCACTTCGTTTTAACCTTTAAGCTGTTCGAATAAGGGTTTCTCAGTTTGTAACAAAGGGGAAATTGGGTTTAGGGTTCATTGGAGAAGAGGGTTGTTGTCAAAATCTGAGGGTTCCTTCGATTTTGGGAGAAATTGGAGAAGAAATCATTCTTTGGCGTTAGACTTAAGGCTAGAAGGTGCGAAGATGGTGGTGCTTAGAGAATCTGGAGGTTGTCAACCCATATGTAAGTGGACCCATTGTTACTCGATTTTCTTGATTTTGGCATGTGCATTGAACTGTTGTTAGGATTTTGTTTTTGTTTTTTGTATACTTTTTGACTCTGCTGGTTCTGGTGTGATCATTGTGTGGTCCTTGCATGTTCCTAGTGTGGTGTGTTGCTGGAAATTTTTTTGTTCTTTCATATATTTTTTTATTCTGTGCTGGCCCCAATATACCTTATGTGGTCCTTGGGTGTTCCTTGTATTATCCTTTGTGTGGTCCTTCTTTTCTCTTTGTGTGTTTTTTTCCATTTGTTAAGTGAATGTTCCTGTTACGCAGATAAAGATGCTGATGAGGTTGTCACATTTAAGTTTTTCCATGGAGGTAAACTAGTGAAAAATAGAAAGGACAGTCAGTGGTCTTATTTAGGTGGTGAAGTCAGTTGGTTTGATTACTGTGAGGTTGACTATATGTCCATGTTAGAGCTATTTGGAATGGCTAAAGATTTGGGATATGACGATGGGTATGATGTGAGTTTTTATGGTGAAGAGTTTGGAACTAGCAGACTCATTCAAATAATATCTGATAGTACACTTTTAGCTTGTATGAGCATGGTACCTAAAAGCAATAGCAGGGTTGTAGTTTTGTACTTGAAGGTAGTGAGCTTAACTTCAAGCCAAGTGGGGAATGATAGCAGTGATAAAGAATATTCTTGTTCTGAGAATGATGATAGCAGTGATCCAGACTTTGAAGACAGTGACTATGCACAGAGTGATGAAGAGATTGAATTATTGAAGAATGATGATAAGTGGTTTGAAGGTTATGTGGATCATAGTATTTTTGACAATGATCCTAATGCAGAGCAAAATGATGAGTCAGACAATGGAGAAGAGTCACCTACACTTACCTGCCCAAATAGTTCACAAAGTGAAGATGATGCAGTGGGTGAAGTAAGAAGGAAGAAGAATAGGATGCCAAAAGGTGAAGATTTCAGACCTGAAATTGATATGGGAAGCCCAAGTTTCAAAATAGGTTTAAGGTTTGCAACTGCCGAGTTGTTTAGAAAAGCTGTGAGGATATACTCCATTAATTGTGGAAGGGAGTTGATTTTTATGAATAATGACCGTAACAAAATAAGAGCAGTATGTGAAGAGGGTGTCCTTTTGTTATCTATGCTTCAAGTGTTAGTGGTAGCACTTACCTGCAGGTGAAAACCTTTAATCCTACACATGTTTGTAGCAAGGGGACTAAAAATATACATGCTACTGCTGGCTGGTTGGCTGAAAGATATTCTGGGCAGTTAAGGCTCAATCCAAATTGGACTGCTTCTTCTTTTGTAGAGCAAGTTCACCAAGACTATGGTTACAGACCATCTAGAGCAACTGTGTACAGAGCAAGAGCCATGGCAGTTGACATTGTAGAGGGGTCTTACAGCAAACAATATGAAGTATTGTGGGAATATTGTCATGAGTTAAGAACCAGGAATGTGGGAAGTACAGTTATCATTAAATCTGAAATGGAAGGTGATAGGCCACGGTTTCAAAGAATTTACATCTGTCTTGCAGCCTGCAAGAAGGGGTTTTTAGATGGTTGTAGGCCTGTGGTTTGCTTGGATGGGTGTCATGTCAAAGGGCCTCACCCTGGGCAAGTGCTTTCTGCAATGGGAGTTGATGCAAACAACGGAATGTTTCCACTTGCCTATGCATATGTAGAGATTGAGAGCAATTCAACATGGCTGTGGTTTTTAGAATTATTGAGTGGTGATCTCAATATTACGAATAGCCATGGTTATGTATTTATGACTGACAAACAAAAAGGGTTAATAGATGCTGTGGATGCTCTATTCCCTCAGGCAGAGCATAGACATTGTTTGAAACATCTATATGGGAACTTCTATTTGGAACATAGAGGTCTTGCCTTGAAACATCAAATGGAAGCAATTGCTAGAGCCACAACAGTGCCATGGTTTCATGCAGAGATGACAAAGATGTTGCAGTTGTCTAAACCTGCACATGATTGGCTCATGGAGAAAGATCCTAGGCATTGGAGTAGGGCATATTTCAAGAGTGATTCCAAGTGTGACATGCTTATGAACAATCTATGTGAGGCATTCAACCGTAGCATAATGGATGCCCGAGACAAGCCTATTCTGACTATGCTAGAAAGAATTCGGTTGTATATAATGTTGTTGATGGCGGGAAGAAGGGTTCTCTGTGAGAAATGGCATGGACAAGTTGGGCCAAGAATTAGAAAGATATTAGAGAAAAACAAAGCAAAAGCTCAGTGGTGCATTCCTAAGGCTGCTGGACAGAATCAGTTTGAAGTAATGCACCATAGTGGCCGCACATTTGCTGTTGATTTGAATGCCCACTCTTGTTCATGCCATGCTTGGGATTTGAATGGAATACCATGTTTGCATGCATGTGCTGCAATAAGTTGGTTTCATGGGAATCCAGAGGACTTTTGTGATGCAGTGTACAAGAAAGAGGCTTATTTGAGAGCCTATGAACCAATGATTATGCCTATGACTAGCCAAGATCAGTGGATGAAGGTTAATTTACCTCCATTACTCCCTCCGAAATACCACAAGCAGCCTGGTAGGCCTAAGAAGACAAGAAAACAAGCTGTTGAAGAACCTAAACTTCCTTATAATCCATATAAGCTTCCTAGGTATGGCATCCCTTTAAAGTGTGGCAATTGCGGTGGAGAAGGGCATAATCGAAGTAGTTGTAAGGTAAGAGGAAAACAAAATTTTGAACCTTGGAGTTATGTACCATTGGGCGGGCCTTGCATCTTTATTACAATTGAGGAGGTCTTGACAAATGCAAATAATCATGTACAATATAGTACAATTGAGGAAACTACTTGATTTCTTCTAGTAATGAGTACAAGACATATAATTCAAAAACAAGTGAGAACTAGCCCTTGCATGCTGCAATTCTGCAATTAGTCTAAGGAAAACAAATTTTGAATTCTTTGAATATTAATAATATTGCTATCATTCCTCCGGCCTTGTGCATCAAGTGGTTGACTATTGGTGTGTGCCTCTTAGCCAGTAAAGAGGAAAAATTAAGGAGAGAGATTATGACTCAAAACGCCTCTTCCATTCCACAGATGGTTAGTGCATATGCAGTATGAGTGAGTCGAAGTCCGCTTCTTGTATACATTGACCTTAAAGAGATTGTGGTTTAATTCTCACGTCTTTTAATACTTTTGCTTCTCTGCTAAGTTTTCCATTCATGGCTATCATAAGAAACTTAACTTTCTTGATCACTTTCGGATGCTTGTGGACTTGTCACTACGCTGCAAGCTTAACTCAGGACACGCTCAAACCAGGGGAGACACTCAACTCCTCAAGGTCCTTGGTTTCAGCCTCGGGGAATTTCACCTTGGCTTTCTTTGTACCTAATGATGGTTCCAAAAACAGTCAACTCGCAATCCTTCGCAGTAAAAAAGGTGTGAATCATGCATGGATTGCAAACCGAAACACACCTATTTTATATCCTTCATCCCCATTTCTTACCTTGGACTCAAACAACACATTGAAAATTACACACCAAAGTGGAGATCCTATTGTCATTTACTCCCCTCCACAAAATAGTACTAGTACTAGTAGTGTTGTTTTGGCTACCCTTTTGGATAACGGAAATTTTGTACTACAAGAAGTGAAATCTGTGGATGGCTGAACGAGAAGGTTTTGTGGCAAAGTTTTGATTATCCAGTGGACACATTTTTACCAGGCATGAAATTAGGTGTGAACCATAGAAAGGCCACATTTGGTCTATTTCATCATGGTCAACTCACTCCAACCCAGCGCCAGGGCTTTTCACCCTTGATTGGGACCCCAATGGACAACAATTGAATATCAAGAAAAGTGGGGTGGTCTATTGGACAAGCGGAATTTTTACAACAATTAAGGGAAGATTTGATTTGATTTTGCCTGACGAACCCAAGGTGAGGTATAATTTCAGCATTGTCTCGAATGAGAATGAAGACTACCTCATTTACACCGCTGCAGATGATCAAATTAAGGACAAAACAGATGCTGATACAAGAACAAATATAAAAGCTTAAATGAATTAGATTTTTCACTTGAGGTGGTGTAATATTTCAATTTATTTTTTTTCTGTTCTTTGATGGGTTGGTTTTGGGTTCCTATGCAACAGGAGGAGGAGGCAAGAGGGCATGATCAAATGTCAAAATCTATAACAGAAATGCAATATCCAAAGAATGAAAGGCAGTCCAACCAAGAAGGAACTAGCAAATATTAGTGAATCAGCAAAACTTATGAATTTAGCAAATAAAGAACCTGAAGCCAGTTTCGAGCGGAAAAAACTTACTTGTGTAATGTGAAGAGCCTGCCCAAGCCGCTGAATTTGAATCCATTGTTCTGTAACAATGTCAGCCATCTGAAAGCAATGAGAAAGAAGCCAATGGCAAAATGAACACCACACTAACAACATCACACACTCATAGCCATAGACCAAAGATGGATTGAGTACATCAGTGCATAACCTTTTGAGACTGAGAGGCAGCCGTTTCGAGTCTATCCCCGGCATCTTGTGCTTTAGACTCTAAAAAATGGGCATAGGCGGGAGGCTAGGCGGCTAGGCGGGAGGCTAGGCGGCTAGGCGGGCGGCGAGACGGCTGGGCGGGCCTCCTAGGCGGGTTGGGTCTTTTGTCGTTGCCAAACCCAGAGGACGAAGCAGCCGAAACCGAAGAAAACAAATCGAAGCTTGAGTTGATAGAGAAGCGAAACTTCGACTGCAACCTCCGTCTAGGCGGGCGCTAGGCGGCTAGGCGGGCGCTAGGCGGCTAGGCGGGCGCTAGGCGGCTGGGCTGGCCTCCTAAGTGGGTTGGGTCTTTTTTCGTTGCCTAACCCGGAGGACAAAGCAGCCGAAACCGAAGAAAACAAATCGAAGCTTGAGTTGATAGAGAAGCGAAACTTCGACTGCAACCTCCGTCCTCTGCGAGTGCAAGCTTCGTTTTGAATATATGACAACCGTATAGCCGCGCGGCTATACTTTTAAAATATTCGAATATATTAACATTTATACTTTTAATATATTCGGAAGTATTTAGAAAGTATAGCCGTCCGGCTATACGTTTAAAATTTTCTAATATATTTGGCGACTATACTCTTGAGATATCAAATTTTGTAAATACATTGCTGCGAGATTTGATTTGAAATGTTTATGAAATAAGAAAAAAGAAAAAAAAAAAAAAAAAAAAAAAAAAAAAAAAAAAATATTGATTATAAAATCAATTGTCTTTTTTCTCTTGGGTTGAAAGTAAGATCAGTGTTCTTCCAACTGAAGGCATCCCCAAAGCACACGTTACATCCCATGGTCGTTTATGCGAAACTCAATAAATTGTAAACGTGAAATTTACAGCTTAAAGTCTTCACTTGAGGCGATAGGTATACAGCCTCTAGTTATTACACTTTGAATTGATATAGAACTATATATGTATAGGGGGTGGATCCATGACACTACATTTTTGACACGAGTCCTAACTCACGTGGATGGACGACCATGCCCTCTAAGAAACTGAAGACAGAACAAGGGCCATAAGTCAGCTGTATTTTTTTTCGCTGCTCTGTTTTGGTTTATGTCTCCTGCTGTTCTGGTTTTGTTTTTTAAAATGAAAGAGGTTTGTTAAAAAAATTGAGCTTTTAGACCACAAGTCCAACTTCATACCACCTCACATATATTAATTTTCCAAAAAGACAATTAATGTACAAACAAAAAACGAACATTAACAGCAAATTATATTACCCCTATATCTGCATGTCTGATGAAATGAATTTAGGGGGCCTTCTGAAACCAAGGCTCACTCCAAAAGCTCATACAAGAGGATATTGATTGGCACTACTTTTGCCGGTGCTCTAGTACTAGTAATGGTGCTCTGCATCGGGTTCCATCTACAACGAAGAAAAAGTTTGTACTTTCAGCTGGTATATTCTTTAAACTTTATGTGTACATGTTAAACATAATTTTCGCATCTTTAACAATTGTGTCAAATTTAAAATCTTAATTGTCTACACGATGAATCTAAACAGGCGATGGCAGGACAAACAGTCCGAACGAATTGCTCAACTTCATGATATATAATAGACCTACTGATGATTTTGATGGGCTTCAAAATGATCATGGAAACATGGGACGTCATGCTTTAAGCATATTTAGCTTTGCATCTGTCCTGGCTGCCACCTGTAACTTCTCTGAAGATAACAAGCTTGGTGAAAGGGGCTTTGGACCTGATTATAAGGTAAGGCTTAAAGTGATTAAAAAAAAGTATACCAATAGCAGAGAAATATCATAGTTTTTAGGTTTTTTTGGGGACAACTGAAAAATATTATGAATTGCCGATTCAGGAAAAATTGGCGACAGGAAGAGAAATAGCTGTAAAGAGACTTTCCAAATGCTCAAGATAAGGAACATTGCAGTTTAAAAATGAATTAAGACTTATATATGAACCCCAACATACAAACCTTGTTCAGCTCTTTGGATTTTGCATCCATGGCAAAGAGAGGATGGTGATATATGAGTACATGCCAAACAAAAGCTTGGACTACTTTTTATTTGGTTGGGAAATTTGCCTTCGTTAATCTTTGTACTGGATTTCATTTGTTCAATTTGTTATATGAATTTTAATAAACTGTCATATATTGGACAGAATCAACCAGAGGTTTGCTCCTAGTTTGGAAGAAGCGTTTAAGTATAATTGAAGGAATCGCTCAGGGGTTGCTTTACTTGTACAAGTACTTAGGAGATTCAGGCATGGGAGTTGTGGAATGAAGGTGGAGGGCTTGAATTAATGGATCCAAATCTAGGAGATTCATGTATTAAAGATCAATTCTTAAGATGCATGCTTGTTGCTCTCCTTTGCGTGGAAGAGAATGCAGCCGATAGACCAACTATGTCAGATGTCATATCTATGCTGACAAGTGAAAGCATGGAGTTAGCTATGCCAACAAAGCCAGCATTTTACACAGAAAGAAACGTGGCCACTGCTGCTATAGCTAGATAGAAAGGGACCACAAGTTATATTGATAAAATTATTTGTCCAATTCCAATCTGGTGATGAGTTACTTGTGTAGAATTATGAATCTAATATAAGGAAGTTGTTATTGTAATAGGATGACGTTTATATTACAGCAACTGTGTGTGAGTTCACTAAAACCCATTTCCAGCTAAGAATGATTGGACATTTATCAATATCTTACTGTCTTTTATCAGAAACTTGACTTGGGTTCTTTTTTAATGAGCATTCTTTTAAGGTTTAGCTAGTTTGAAACTTCAGCTGTGACTCATTACCTACCAGTATGAGAAAACGACAGTGCTTTCAAATTCAAATCTCTCCTTCCCCTCTACATTTTCAAACCTTCAGCAAATGGCTTTGCACCTCTTAACCAGAAAATTAATATTATTCATCATGATTAAGTACAAGTGTTCCCTTATATATTTTATTTATTCCTTTTAAATAACCCTCGATGGTACGAGGAATTTGTTTAGTTATTCTTTTTGTTACAATTTGGAATTATCGTCTTCCCACAAATACGACTCCAACCAGGAGCCAAGTGCCTTGTGAAGAAAGAAAAGCAAAGAGAAAAGAAAGGAAGATATAACCTTCTCTCCAAGAGCACAGATGGATGATGGATATGGTGTGTCCATAAGTATAAAAAAGAGTGAGTCAAACTATTTCCCTAATTTTAAAATCAAATAAAAGAAAACAAAGTCTTCATGTCGAATTGTAAGAACTTTATTTGATGCCTAAACTATTTCAGTTAAGTGTTCATGATCATCTTGAGAAATTAACTGCCTGACCTGTTGACATCCATGGCTACCGGTTTGATGATGATCAGCTCAATTATCTTCATCATTTTTGCTTCCTTGTGGACTTACCATGATGCTGCAAGTGACACACTCAAACCAGGGGACACTCTCAATTCCTCAAGTTCCTTAGTATCTGCATCGGGAAAGTTCAGTTTGTATTTCTATGTATATATTGATGGTTCCAACAACAACAGCTATCTAGCTATCCTGAACAAAGAAGCTCCAAACAATGTATGGATTGGCAACCGAGACACACCTATTGTATACCCTTCATCTGCAGTTCTGACCTTGGACTGGAATAATACATTGAAACTGACTCACCAAGGTGGAGACCCTATTGTCATTTCCTCTGCTCCACAAACTAGCAATATTAGTACTAGTGTTGTGGCTACCCTTTTGGATTCTGGCAATTTTATACTGCAAGAAGTGAACTCTACGGATGGATCGACAAAGCAGGTTTGGTGGCAAAGTTTTGACTATCCATTTGGCACATTTTTACCTGGCATGAAGTTAGGTATTAATCATAAGAGTGGCCATCTTTGGTCGATGTCATCATGGGCTACTTACAACAACCCAATGCCAGGGCCATTCACTCTTGATTGGGATCCCAATGGACACCAATTGCAAATCAGGCGACAGGGGGTGCTTTATTGGACTAGTGGAGTCTTTACAAGCAGTAGTAAAACGTTTGAATTTATTTCGGCTGAGGAGTCCAAGCTGAGGTATAATTTTAGTGTAGTTTCAAATGAGAATGAAGACTACTTCACTTACACTGCTGTAGATCATGATCAAAGTGATCAGAAACCACAATGGGTGCTAACCTTTATGGGGAGCTTTCATGACGGATCCTTTAATTTCGCACAAGCAGAGGACTGTGATGGCTATAACACAGTTGGAGGGTGTGTGAGAGGATCGGCCAAGTGATTGCATGGCCAAATTCGATCGATGATGAATTTGAGCTCAAAAATGGTTACTTCAAGATCAACAACTCTAGTAATAGTTCGAGATCCCCGTCCTGGTTTGGCACTAGTAGTAGTGATTGTAAGGCTACCTGTTGGCAAAATTGTGATTGCCTTGGATTTGACGTTCCTCTTGTTAATGGGACTAGCACCGGGTGCCGATTCTGGAGTGTAGACTGTCAATTCTTTGAAGACCTTACTGCAAGTTACAGTTTTGTCTTGTCAGGACAAGCAACACCAGTAAAACCACCATCTGCCAAAAAAAATGGTAAGTCTAGCTGCCAATTTTGATATCTGTGCTGATTGCTTCTAGTTCTAATTCCTTAGGTACCAGAGAAGTATCAGGGTCTTGATTGCTTCTAGTTCTAATTCCATAGGCACTCCCAATTGAGGAAAAAAAAAGAAGGTATGTTGCTGATGTTCATTGCACGTGGGGAGTGATTTGGTTCGCTAATATGTTTTGTTTGTTTACGTTGAGTTATTTAGTTCATCACACGATATGTTATTTCATACTTCGAGGAATACCTTCTATGTTGGTTATCAGTTTTTTTTTCTTTCGAAATATTTAATTTCTGTCATTTATAATTTACATGAGCTATCCAGACATTGAAATTTTCAATTTTTGTCATTTACAAAATTCGATATACATAAATCCAAACACTGAAATCTTCAATTGCCAGAAATTGAAATGACGGAAATCTAAATTCCGTCATCTTAAAATTCTATGTAATTTGCAATTCTTTCATCCAAACGGAGTATAAGTAATTTTCTCACAGTTTACCAAACAGGTTGGGCTTCTCAAAATTTTAAAAAAATCACTTATTACCCCAAATAAGCAATACCAAACGGGCACTATGTCCGATTATCCCCTCCCGTATTTATAAAGGATACACACGTACCATTTTCCAGCCCTCCTTCTCGCTGGACTTGATAATATGGGCTAAGGCCCAATAATCAGGCATTCGAGCCCTTAAAAGTAGATTGCTCTCCTCTAAGCCTTGGGCTCAATTCAAATTCTAAAACCTCTCCTAAAATCTCTCAGGAGCCACTGTATCAACCCATTAGGCTCAATCGCAATTTGGGTCTCTATTTTAAAGTTACATAGATCCTGGCCATTTCTGCGATCCAAAGGCCTCAAATACCATCGGCGATAGATCTTCCCCCTGCCATCGTTTTCTTACAACATTTCAATTCTAGAATCAAAACCCATTCGATTGCTGCACCTTACTTTACTGCGTGTCTTCCAGTTTCAAATTGTTAGTTAATTAATTAGCGCGAATCCACTGTCGAAACCCTAAATTCCCAAATTCTGTCCGCTCCCAAACCCCATGGCCTCGAGAAAGAAGCAATCCGAAGCCATGGCTTTGCTGGTGTCCAATTACAACGATGAGGAAGAGGATGAAGACATGGAGGATATTGAACAAGACCGACAAGAAGAAGAAGAATACGATGAAGATCAAGAACGACGAGAACAGCGAGAATACGACGATTACGGAGAGCTGAGAAGAGGCTCGGAAGATGCTTCAATGGTAGACATGGATAGAATGGTAGCTGGTGATTCTGGTAACGACGATAGCGCACCGCCTGATGCTGGCGATAATGAGAATTTGACTCCGAATGAAGGTCAATTTCGTCATTCAACGCCGCAACTACGGCAGCCGGTGCCGTCGGATAGTTTAAATAGAAGTAGAAGAGGGGGGCTTACGATTGTGGACTATGGGCATGATGAAGTTGCTATGTCTCCTGAGCCTGAGGTATTCTCTTCATTTTTCTTTCTGGTGGAGGTTTTTTGCTTGCTGAGAAACGTGAAGAAGCTAAATGAAAAATGATTTGGGCGTTTATCATGTATATGTTTTTTATCGCAAAGGATGATAACTTTGAGTGTTCAAAAAGCGGTTGTCATGCCGGGTTTTGCTCCATCAAATGTAAAATGTAATTCGATATTCGGCTTTCACAAATGATCTAAGTAGTTGATAGCTTATGACCCATATTTCTGTGATTGTTTGATTCATACATAAATATGGGTTGAGGAACATTTATTATCTTTGCTGAACTTATTAGTACGTTTTTTTGTGCTAATTGGTTGCAGGAGGGTGAAATAGAAGGAAGTGGTCGTGTGAGGTTCGGTGCAGATCTTTTATCTGCTAATGGTACAAATGTTGTTTTCAGAGCATTTACTGTTTTCATATTTCCAACTATTGGCCCTTCTTCGTATCTCAAACTTCCTATAATTGTTTGTTGCAGGTGATTTCCACGATAAGACACCTCCTGGAACAGTTCACATCCTAACACCTCTCGATCAAGCGACTCCTCAATTATCTGAACCATCTCAATCTGATACAATGAACGATACTGCACTTGAATCAGAGGGTATAAATGCTGAACAGGCTGCTGCAGAAGAGCAAAAAGATGTTGATCCGTTAGATAAGTTTCTCCCGCCACCAGTAAAAGCCAAGTGTTCAGAGGAGCTGCAAGTAAGTTCCTTTTAACAGGTTTACTATTTGCAGAATAGATACTGCTTTCCAAAGTTCAGGTTCCTCTTGGGATTTTAAAGTACATAACTGTTCATCTCAGAGCTAACCTCTTAATATAGATCCTTTCAATGTCAATTGATAAAGCTTGAACTGTACAACTGCTGCCTTAAGTCATCCCTGTATAGCTTAGTGCTTTGTGGTTTTGTGACCTTTGCATTCAAGTCCTGGAACTCTTTCGAGTCTTTGGCTGTGGCATGCATCTAATACTTCATGGTTTGTACTTTGTACAGATGAGGCCTTTTCCCCACTTCCCCCAAATTAAGATAAATAGGAAAAACTGTTTTGACAGGTGACCTTTTTATGTATGAAACTTTATTTAAAATCTGTCAAGCGTTTAGTTCTGATGCTAAGCTGCTCGTATGAATACGGTTTGAAAATTACAAAGTGACAAATGTTTTTTGTTGTTGAAACTTTAGGATAGGTGGTTTTTCTGTTTGAATATAGAGTCATGGAAAAATTGATTCTTCTAAAGGTTCCAGCATGATAGGCCTTGTTAAAACTAAAAAGCATGATAAGCAAAGATGAAATTTGTTCAAATCTATGAGAGAACCAACCTGTAGGAGGTGCTCAAGGATTCGCAGAGACAGAATAGTGGCGTACAGAGTATGTGCCATAGGGTCCTGCAGTTGCCTTATATTACCATTCCTTTATTCTACGCAGTCATTGCAAGTTTGTGTCTTTTTTTTCACAAGTCATTTAAATGTCCTGTATTTGATTAACTTTAAATTCATTTGATTGCAGAGGAGGATAAATAAGTTTCTTGAATTAAAGAGATCTGGGAAAAGCTTCAATGCAGGATTGCGCAATAAGAAGGACTATAGAAACCCAGACTTTCTATTGCACGCAGTGAGGTATCAAGATATTGATCAGACAGGATCTTGCTTCAGTAAAGATGTATTTGACCCTCATGGATTTGAAAAAAGTGACTACTATGATGAAATAGGTCTCTTGCAATTCTTTGAATACTCTCTCTCTCTCCCTCTCTGTGTGTCACCTATTGTGCTTCAGTGCTAGGTCCTGTTTAACTATATGAATATTAGTTTTATCATATATGCTCTTCGTCAATTGAGCTATTGTGGTTAGTTTTTTGGGAATGTGTTCTCTCTCTCTGTGTTACCTATTGTGCTTCAGTGCTAGGTCCTGTTTAACTATATGAATATTAGTTTTATCATATATGCTCTTCGTCAATTGAGCTATTGTGGTTAGTTTTTTGGGAATGTGTTCCGGTAGACTTTGTTTGGTATGTGGAGAGATTTGACGAAATTGCAGTAGGAAATTTATGTTTTCTAGAAATAAATGACCTGCTGCCATCACAAATTCCAAGTTTATAGACTATATGAAGAGTTGCATATACGATCATGTTTTTCTCTACTGAATTATGTTTTTGCAATTCTGTCGGGTTTAAGTGTACGTCAGACAATTCGAGAAGAAATGTGGAATGTATTCAATTTTGTTGCTCTCTCACTCTCTCTGTCTATCTGGAATGATTCTCCTTGCTGCTTATGTTTTGTATGTTTTGGTAAGCAGAGGCTGAGATGAGGCGTGAAATGGAAAGGAAAGATCAAGAAAGGAAGAGGAGTCAAAAGATTGAATATGTTTCAGGAGGAACACAGCCTGGAATAGTTGGTGCTGCACCTAAAATTAACGTACCTGTTCCAGGTTTGAAACCATTTAATATTAATCTTTAATAGTTAGGAACTTAGGATTGATCTGAAGATCTATGCCCAGTCGGCACAACTTTGTCACCTGGCCTTGGCTTGTTACCTTATAGGTTAATTTAATGAGTTATCCTGAATTATGGTTCTCTTGTATGGGGTCATTTTTCAGGTGTTTCGACCATGGCTGCTTCTGGATTGAACTCCTTGCCTCCTGCTCCTGATGTCATGCCACGGGATGGTAGACAGAACAAGAAGTCAAAGTGGGATAAGGTTTTAATTTATGGATATGCATAAATGTTCCATATATATTGTGACAGATATTAATTCACTGACTGTAACAAATGTTTTTTGTCTTTCAGGTAGATGGTGATCGAAAGAATCCTCTTCCCTCTGGAGTGCAGGATTCTATGTCCACTGTGGGGACTCATGCAACACTCTTATCTTCTGGTGCTGGATACATGGCTTTTGCGTATGTTTTCTTAACTGCTTCTTATTTGCTAATCTATTATGAATTCCTTTCCTGTTTTTATTGTCTACTGAACAGAGCATGATAGTTTTTTCTGACATAATGACCGCTTCGGACTATTTGGCAGGCAACAGAGACGGAGAGAGGTGGAGGAGAAACGATCTAGTGAAAGGAAGTTAGACAGAAGATCTTGACCCGTTTCATGTATTTCTTCCTAGCAGCAGGGACGGAGAGAAGTGCAGGCTGCATATACACCATTTCACCTTTAGATCCAATGTCAGGGGGCCCGTATTTTTGTTATGAATACACATCTTGTACATGGTCGGAATGAAAATCCGCTTGATGGCTGTTACAATTTGAGGGAGGTCAAGGGCTGCATCTATTAATTAATCAAGTTTACCGAGTTATCGATTGATTAAGGTCTTAATTTTCCATTGTGGGCCTGTTGAGAAATTGATGAGCTATTATTTGTGTGAAATAAAAGAAAAGGATCCCAAAAACCAATCAATTGTCTTTGATACGAGAACTAATATTACTTCATCTGACGGATTGACGGATTGGAACTCTCTGTAGATCAAAGTGATAGATTGCTCGGGCCGAAAGTAAAAACTCACATGGTGTGTTTGCAATTAGGTTTGTTTTTTCTGACATTGTAAGATGCTAGCAAGCAAAAGCTCTAATTATTGAACTAGAAGAATATGTAATATCGATTGAAAACAATCAGTTTTTTTGTTTTGTTTTATTTGATCCAAAGTCTTTCATATTAAATAAATATGGGACATCAAAGGACCCACTAGTGTCGTAGTTTGGAGTAATTGTTATCCCCAGAGAATGTCCTTAGTTCGAGTCTTGACATCTATGTAATATGTGTGAGTTCAATTTGTTATTGTCCTTCTTAATAGAAAAGGCCCTAAAAATAAATAAATAAAATAAATATGAGACATGCAATGGTTATAAAATTGTAGCGTTGTCTTGGAGAGTGTAGTATGGTTAATTACCACAAATTAAGGACGTCCCTTGGGCCCTGTCTCCTAGCATAGCATCCTATAAATAACATTAGCATACAAAAAGTTAATCAAGTCCTTGTGGAAAAATGGGGAGGGAGTTCTTGTTGTCCAGCTTTCACTCCCGCGCTTTTCTTTTTCGGCCCTACTCTTGCAGTCAATCAATTCAAGACTTTTATCTCAAGTTAATTAATAAAAACATAATCGATTAGGTAACATCACATAATTATTAGGTTAACATACACATTATTAAGGAATTCCAAGTCTCTGCATTAACGAGAAATTATTAGTTGTAGAAGTTCCTAGACTCGGATTTATAATCTCATTCCTATCTCCTAAACTTAATTTTCCTTTGTTTTTTTTTACAAGTTAAGTATTGCAGAGACCCCCTTTAGCTGTAGACTCTGTGATGAGTGATGAGGTAGCACCTTCTCTTTTACTTTGTTGCAAATATATGCATCGATCCTAGCTATGTGATAAAGGAATCCGAATAGGATATCGACCAAAGGGTTATCAGTAGAAGAAGTGTGATCTGGTTGACGATTTGAGACCTACGTCAACAAAGATAAGAGTAACCAATAATACACCTACTTACTAACCAAGAAAAATTGGATTGTTTCTTTTGGACGCACATATCACAACAAATCTCCATTTTTAATGTCAAATTCAGATGCATTGTTCTAGCCGAAAGGAGAGTCCCTACCTACCTCATCTCACTGACAATAACATCATTTTCTCCAAATTATACAGTCGTCTCGTCTTCTTCCTTTCTAGTTTCATTTTCTCTCGACTGGCATACAAGAAACTTGGTCATCGTAGTCAAAGGTAGCCTGTGGTGGACCCGCGACAAAATCATGCATGCTTCCACTTGTTTAGTTGTTCTACCTCATGTTAAAAGGGGAGCATTTTTCTTTTTAACGTCGCATGATGATTACACGACCTTATTAATTCTTTGTACGACAAAAGGATCCTTTGTTTTTGCTTTAACCCCGGGATATGCCAATTTCATTCTTCTTTCAAGATTACTTATCTTTTATATCATATAGCTTCCTCTTTTGCATACTCTTTTTCTAAAGAGCATACATAAGTCATTTATGTTGTTATTAGACTCTAAATTTTCGTGCGATTTGCGAGTATTTTACGTTTTTATAATAAACCGAACATTTACATTTACATTTTTGTGCGTCAAGTAAGCAAGCATGTTTAGTTTGAACAGTACATCCATTCTTACATGTCACATAGAGTACTTTGATGGTTGAATATACCCAGCTAAGGTGACAAAAGAAAGGAAAAGAAAAAGTAAAAGTGAGCTTTTCTGCTGATTACCACTTGAATGGATATACCCAGCTTGCTGAGGTCTCGCATGCAGGATCTTAATTATAACAAGATTCTCACTACAAAACTTGATGGAAATTCTGGTTTCCCTTTGGCCACCTGGGCTTTAAACTTTAGTGATAGTGGGATGGGGGTGGGATAGATTCTAAGTTCGGTATTTTTTTTATACTTTACACTTTTTTTTTGGGTGTCATATTGTCTGGATTGGTGTTTCCTATGAGTCTGGCTAGTGTCATCCTTTGGATAACTCCTCCTTTGGATAGCTTTCTCCTTTCTGCTCACCCTTTTCACTTTTGCGAAAAATTGTTTTAATTGTTATCTTCTTGCTGCCATGGGTGCGTGCAATGACATCCTTTATCAAAAGGAAATGAGTCTATATCCTCCTTTTCCGATTAGTTGAGCTAATTCTTTCTCTATCTTTCTCGTCACGTATTATCTCGAATCGTCATTCTCATCCTTTAAAAATGTACGCATATAAATGTTACACATTTCTATTTAACCTTTTAATGTATTTTATACGTACTTTTATAGGGACCCTTTCTTCTTTTCTTTTCTTTTCTTTTTCTTTTTTGAAGTTCATTAATGGTTATTTGTTCTGGTCTGGGGAGGTGGGTACAGAGCGGTAAATACAATGAATTTTGTGGCTGTGGTGGTGCAGTAGAAAAGGGAAAACTCGAGCTATATGTATAGTACACACAGACACAGTGTCTGTGTTATTACCAGAGATGGCAGATGGGCTCCGATTTCCAAGCTGCTGGCTTGTCTTAAGCTTACAGAAATATAGACGTTGGAGATTCGAACACTGCTCTTCACACGTTGAGGCCTAGTCAGATTCTTCTTATTTAAACACAAAGAAATCAGCCAACTGCATCATCGGGCACAAAAATTTTGTATGCTACTTAAACCTAAAAGCACCCAAAAAGGAAATAAATAAATTCAATGCTTTAGGGTTTGTTTACAGTAAACAAGAATAATCATTTAAACCCTTACCTACAAAAGAGAATATAATCATTCAAACTTTTCTCATGTTAGAAATCATACGAATCTTATCAAACTCTACCAAAATTTGAAAACACAAGTTTGTCCCTCTTAATTTTGGGCAAAGGCACCATGCAACATGCTCCTGAAAAAGTTGGTATATTTATTTTGATACGATGCTGTTAATCATTATTGTGTGAAGGTCCACATATGTAGCTAGTTAGGTATCAACTGAACTTCCTCGTGTCTATAATCTATTGCCAATTCAAATTTATGTAAGTCCAACAATTATTCTAACATGGTATCCTAAACCTATACATATTTTTCTATAATTTTGGTTTTGTTTTTGCACGTTATAATGTGATGTCTTACTATTAAGCTTCACATTGTACCCCATATCCAAACCATTAGGCGTTCAGGAAAAAAGTTAGCGTATAATATTGATTAATGTAGGAGGAAAATGAAAATAATTGCTCAAGGAAAGTTGTATCGGTTATTTATGTCTCTCTCATTACGTGTTATTTGATGGACGAAAGAGGATTTCCTCATGTTCTATTTTGAGTTCATAACTCCTACCTCAGCTTATCTACATTCCCCTCCTTAGAAGAAAATTAGATTTGCAAGGATAAATTTGGGAAGTTTCATTTATTTAAGCAACTAATACTTTGAACGCTTATTTAATGTTTTACTTTTTAGGTAATTAGATTTCTGAGCAATTAAGAAATTGAGTTCGTAAAATTTAGTGGGAACAGTGTGGCATGCAACGGTAACATCCAGTTTGGAAGTTCCTTTAAGGGTAATTTGGGAATATGAAAAATTGAACGGAACTTTTGTTTGTAGTAGTACCATAAAGCAGAGAGAGATATAAACCCAAAGCAATTTATTAATAGTGGGCGCCAACAAGTGCACATTTTTCCTCTCACTGCTTTCCAAGTCTCACTGCAGCAGTGAACTCTCTTTCTCCTTCTCTCTCTATCTTTCTCTCTCTAGCCTTTTTTCTGAGTCGTCCTTTGCCTCCATCCATCATCCATTAGCTTTTCTCTTTGTGCTTTTTTCATTATCATTGACTATTTCTCCCTCTCTCAAGTTGGTACAAGTAAATCCCATTACATTCATTAAGCAACGAAACCCTGAAAGGATCTCTCTCCCTCTCTGTATTCTTTGATTCATTTGGTAGAAACCCATTCGTTTTTAGAGGCAAAAGAAGCGTTGTGAAGTGGGCATAAGCCATGGCAGCTCCTAAACCAGAAGAGATAAGCCATCCACCAATGGACCAACTTCAAGGCTTAGAGTACTGCATTGACTCAAACCCATCTTGGGGTACGTTTATTTCTAGTGTTTTCTCAACCCCAAATCCCCATTAATTGGTTTGTTATCTTTTTTTTTTCCTTCCACATTTTGGTTCTTAATTTTTAATCTTATTTTAAAAACAGGGGAATCAATAGCTTTGGGTTTCCAGCACTACATTTTGTCCTTAGGAACTGCTGTGATGATCCCATCCTTCCTTGTTCCTTTTATGGGTGGCACTGATGTGAGCTCAATCTCATAATGATTCATCTGTCTTTTTTAGATTTTGTGGTTCACTTTCATTGATTCTTATATCTTTGTAACCTTTCCTTTAATTGCAGAGTAGATTCAAATATATTCTGTGTCTTTCTAAGTCCTGCTAATTTCTTGAAGAATAATAAAGTGTCATTTTCAGATAGCAAAAAGAAAAAGGCTTTAGTGAATAGCAAAAATGTTGAAGATTGAAAGTTAGTAAAATTTGTGTGTTTTACAAAGGATTGATATAGACGATGAATGTGCTCCTTATTTAACTCATTTGATCAGGGTGACAAAGTGAGAGTGGTGCAGACTCTACTTTTTATTCAAGGAATCAATACACTTCTACAAACATTATTCGGAACCCGGTTACCAACTGTGATTGGAGGGTCTTACGCTTTCATGGTCCCAATTATATCCATAATTCATGATTCATCATTGACGAGTATTCAAGACGATCATGTTGTAAGTTCAATTTTTATCTCACTTATGAATTTGATTTGTTTTGGTGCAACTTGAAATGTGTTCTTGTGGTTGCCACTCCCAGGACCTGCTTGCCAATTGGCCTTATTCAGCATATAATTTTTATCTCACGTATGAATTTTGTATTGTTGCTTACTAGATAAACCCTTGCCATTGCAAGTTGCCAAAATTTCACTGAGCAACCAATTACTTAGTTGGAATTCCTTCATGCTCACATTCTAGAATAAAGTTTCTCAAACCATTTAACAAACTGTCATGCTACTAATTTGGTGGTTTGTGAAATTTTGGGAGTATGTTTTATTATTCTTTGGAGAAAAACTAATGGCATTTCATGTATTTCTAGAGATTTCTTAACACCATGAGAGCAGTCCAAGGTGCTCTCATAGTAGCATCAAGCATACAAATCATTCTGGGATACAGTCAAATTTGGGCCATCTGTTCCAGGTACAAATTTATCTCCGAATCAAGGAAGCAAGTTTTGGTATTTTCTATTTCATAGATGAATGAGAGCATCTATCTTTCTCCTTACAGGTTCTTCAGCCCACTCGGAATGGTTCCTGTTATTTCATTGGTTGGTTTTGGCCTGTTTGATAGAGGATTCCCCGTGGTATAGTAAAAACAACCATTTCCATCATTCTCAATTGTTAATTTTCTCGAGTTTGGAAAGATGACAGTATTAACTTTCCCTGTCACTTATTCCAGTACTCTTACTTCCTTCACTTAATATGCCTATCAGGTTGGAAGGTGTGTAGAAATTGGCATCCCCATGCTTATCCTTTTTGTAGTTTTCTCTCAGGTATTACTAATCTTCCTTCTGTAATAGCATATGATAGTGTGATGGTTGAAATTCATTCAATCTTCTTATTTGTGCTGTGTTTATCCTGTCGGTGTGAACAGTACCTGAAGAACTTTCATGCAAGACAGCTACCAGTACTGGAGCGATTTGCTCTTCTCATATCAATCACAGTGATATGGGCATATGCACACCTCTTGACCGCCAGTGGTGCATATAGACACCGCCCAGACATAACCCAAGTCAATTGCCGAACTGACAAGGCCAACCTCATTTCTTCTGCTCCATGGTTGGTGCCAAAATTAGATTTTAATTGGTTGCACAATCCGTGTTCACTTGCTCACTCTCAACATGCTTGAGAAATTTTCACTCAACCAAGTGTTTCTGTAAAGTGCATTGTTTAGCATTAAAAATAACGGAAGGGTCTTTGTTGTGCCGCCTTCATTCTTCAAATTGCTTGTGCATTGAAATGTGACACTATCATTAGGACACTTTTAATTTGTAAATATGTACATTTCTCCTCCTAAACAGGATAAAAATACCTTATCCTCTTCAATGGGGTGCCCCAACCTTTGATGCTGGCCATGCTTTTGGAATGATGGCTGCTGTTCTTGTTTCATTGATTGAGGTATAACTCAGACGAACCTGGGTTCCATTCAAGTATAGATGATATGAGTAAACTTAAACTAATTCTTATTTTGACAGTCAACTGGAGCATACAAGGCTGCATCACGTCTAGCAAGCGCCACAATACCTCCAGCGCATGTTCTTAGTCGTGGAATTGGCTGGCAGGGGATAGGAATCCTACTTAATGGACTCTTTGGAACATTGACCGGCTCAACAGTATCTATGTAAGTATTGATGCTTCTTGCTCTTTAATATCTCCACTCAGTGGAACCAGACTAATTTTTCGGAAAAAAATTACAGAGAAAATGTGGGGCTTCTTGGGAGCACTCGTGTTGGAAGCCGTAGGGTCATTCAAATATCAGCTGGTTTTATGATATTCTTCTCCATGCTAGGTTAGTCCTGCACAAACATATGATGACTGGATGCATGTATATTATTTTTCCTAACAGACTCTTTCAGTCGGTCTTCCTCTTTTTAACTTGAATCATCGCTCTGGCAGGAAAATTTGGAGCTTTGTTTGCATCAATACCCTTCACTATATTTGCTGCTGCATATTGTGTATTGTTTGGTCTTGTTGGTGAGCATCCAATTTTACTTTTATGTTTTAGATTTCATTAAGCATCTCTTCTTAACCTTTTATCTGCATCTAATTGTTAATCTATATTAATGTGTTCTCAGCTTCGGTGGGGCTATCCTTTTTGCAATTCACAAACATGAACTCGATGAGGAACCTCTTTATCACTGGTGTAGCTTTATTCTTGGGTTTGTCTGTTCCCGAGTACTTCAGGGAATACACTTTGAAGGCTTTTCATGGTCCTGCTCATACCAATGCCGGATGGGTGAGTTCCCCTAAAACCTCAGAATGGCAAGAACAGTTGATCAATTTTGAGCCATATTCAAGGGGGTAACGTCATCATTCATACTAACTTCTGCTTTTCTGATGTGCAGTTCAACGACTTTCTTAATACCATCTTCTCCTCATCTCCGACTGTGGCATTGATTGTCGCCGTTTTCTTAGATAACACACTCGAGTACAAGGACAGTGCAAGAGACAGAGGAATGCCATGGTGGGTCAAATTTCGAGCATTCAAAGGGGACAGCCGCAATGAGGAGTTTTACACTCTCCCTTTCAACCTTAACCGATTCTTCCCTCCATCTTAAGTGGTACCATTAGTCCATTACCAGAAAAAGGAGATGTTAGTGGAAAAACATCATTTCCAGATAGGGATTAGATCAGTCAGGAACCTGGTTGGAACTTGGAGGAGAAGTCAAACAATGACCATGCAGGGAAAATGATGAGAGTCCTTCTGCTTCCCTATATTTTACTATTATATTTTGACTCGGATTATTCGGGTTTAATCCAATAAATTTAATTAATTACCCCTTGTGTCCAGTTTTGTTCATTCTATATAATTGATCCTATTTTGGTGTAATTTTGAGAGTAGTTATTTTGACATGGCAAAGCTGAGTTACAAAGATTTGTACTCCACCTCGCAGCTATAAATTTTTTGGTTAATGTTCAGATCTTCTTTGAAATGAATTACAGTCATAGAGATTATATAAATGGGAAAAAGAGAACCTTTACAAAACTAATGCAGCTGCCGCACTTTATATACCATCCCCTGGAGGAAGAAGATGAAAGAATTGAATGTAATACGACACCAAAAGAAAACAGAGTTATCGTTGACTGGACAAAAACAAATGTCAAAACGATTGAAGAACATCCGAAGGGTTGCCAGATTGAGCACAGTTAGTGAGATTTACACATGCACTGTTGGCATCTTGGCTGTCGATAAATGCTCCGACCAAACCTCCTCACGTGCACCCTTTGACCTTCCTCAATCATCTTCTTTACTCTGTCTTCAAAGCTGTTCCACTGTATGGTGCTATTCTCAGACAAAATTGCTGCTAGCCTCTTCTTGTTAGGCCGTAAAGTAGGAGCACGGCCGCCACCATAGTAGGTTCGAAATCCAGACACTAGGGAGGATAGTTGGCTCCCAGAGTCAGTCATAGCAAACACATCAGCAGTTGCACAGGCAATGAAGTCCAATGCTGCTAACTGCACCAGAAAACCCCTAAATTTAGTAAGGCAACCAATTATGCATGAAGGGTCAAACTCTGTTATCCTCTAAAGGGTACATTACAATTTACAACTAGAAGGAATAAAAATGCTCAGTTACCTTAGAAGAGAAGTTTTGGAAAGGTGCAAGTTCACTTGGCATGAGGAGAGTTTCCTTCGTAACCAAATTAGGATAGAGGCTTGTGAAGGAATTCATCCTGGAATTTCCACCGTATATTTGAGATCCAGCTAGATAAATGTAAGTTCCATGCTTAAAACCTATTCCAGCAAGAACTAGTCCTGCTTCTTCTGGTGTCAATGGACACCTCCCTAACTTTCTCAACTCTCTTGGAGAAACAGGCCTGCAAGTGCCAGTAACACACGGAAGATGCATCAGTTAACTAATATTGTCCACGAAACAAAACCAGAAAAAATAACAACTTCAGAAGCCAATAGAAAAAAAGTACTTTGAGTTCTTCAAGCGCTCAATGAGCAGAGGAAAATGGACTTCCCGGTAGGTTTGGAGCTCCTTTTTCTCACTTTCTCCACCTCCAAATTCACATAGGGAGTAGGCCACCATGTCAATCTCAAACCTCAAGTGTAGAGCGAGATATTTGGATGGACTTCTTGCAGCATCATGCTCTTTTGAGGGACTGCTGTGCATGAAGTTTCCAAGCAATTGTTTGTCCAACGTACTCAGTGCAGCATCATATTTTCTTATCCTTCTGACCAACAACGAACCAACATGCTGGATTTCGGGCACAAATTTCAAAGCATGAAAGTTACATTTGCATCTTAGTCTCTGCAATAGATTGGAAAACATGTTACTGCATCACAAAAGTATTGAAAATAACAATAAAGCCCATTTATAACCAACAATGTCCTGCTCAACTCCCATAATAAATGTCTAGGTTCAAGTATCCAAGCTATACCTGAAGCTCAGAAGGCAATGGATCAAAGCCTAGTCGATTCCCATATCCCAGTAAGTGAACGACTCTATTTCGCAAGAGAAGGGGTAGTACAACTCTAATATAATCAATGGGTTTTGCCTCCTTCACAAGATCTGCATCAGTAATCTGGAAAGAGAAAAAGGTAATCAGTTTACAAAATTGCTTCACAAATTAAAGTAATCATATAGGAGAACGACATACAAGGCTACCGATTGCTTCAAGGTCTAGTGATTTCAAGTGAGATGGGAGTTCCTTGACAACTTTTACTTCATCCTTCAGTACATCCATAAAATGTTCTTCTTGGTAAATATCACCAAATTGGCTGCACTTACAATGAATAAACCAAACTTAGTACTCTGTACAAATCACTGAATGTATGCATGCATCAATAATTATTTCAAAGCCGCAACATCAACATAGGCTTACTGAGACACATCAAATTGAAGCTTTAATGATATATGAAAATTATCAGAAAATTATCTCAAACCTCGGATCATTCCATACATTGCTGTAAAGAAATCTTGGAAGAACAAGAGTAGCATTAAGAAGAGATGCCACAGCAACAGCATTGCAAATCTGTGAGCAATTGAAATAGCCTGGTCAGCCCTGTTAGCATACAAAAGGCAATCATCGCAAGTTGAATACTTACAGCAACTCGTTGTTGATTGAGACCACCATTTGCACTGACTACTATGTAACCATTACCTTTCTTGTATTTCCCTGAGGGAAGAGCATAAAAGCAATTGACTAAGTAACAGGAAGAAGGGTTTAATTATAGAAATATTTTACCACTAAATATTTTAAGACTTAATACAGTCATTATTAGTTATCTCAGTGGTAGTACTTGAAAAAGAAGTTGGGATGAGAATAATCAAGTACCTAGGCTTGAAACTTTTCTGTCTGCACAAGGTTTCCATGCAGCAACCTGCCTATATGGTTCTTTCCATAAAGTTGACAACTCTGGCTTAAACTCTTTCTAAAGCAAAAGATTTAGGTGAGGAAAAAAAGGAAGATCCAACAATGAAATATAACAAAATCCGAGTCAAAATACTATAAAGTTATGAAGCAAACCTCTGCAAGGGCGCCTTTTGCCAACTTTAGAAGTCGGTCATACATCTGTACTGGTGCTTTTTCTTTCATAAGGTGGGCATCCCTGTCCTCCTCCTTTGGAAACAATTGTAACAGATTAAAAATGATGATAAATGGCATCCGATTGCATATTCATGAGTTGGTAAACAGAAAAGCTAGAAATATGAAAAAAGGAGGAAACTGGACTCATCCTTGAACCTATGAATGAAGAAATTTGTAGCTTTAACCAATACTCACAACATATGGAAGTATGCTTAGAGTGATTGCTGCTAATTAGTAAAAGGAGCATGCATACAGTATGATCAAATGTCGTACCTTAAGGACGGGAAGTTTTCTTATAGCTGAACTATTCTGAAGAACCATAGAATCAAAAATGGACACCAAAAAAGAATCAAGCAGGAGAAAGAAACCCATCAGAGCAAACACAAAAATGATTGAACGGACGTCCTTTCGAAGCCACAGATGCTTTTTCCCCACAAAACTCCCCTTACAAGTAGTATATTTCACAGAATCATTTCTCAGACCATGAAGCAACAACATTTTGGAATTCAAATGGTTATCTCCCCCTGGCATTCTCCTCCCAACATTAGAAGGATCATAGTCTTTAGTCCCTGACGATAAGTCATCATCAATCTGTGGCTCAGGACGTGGACTTCTTGGGGACCCTTGCTTCCCCATTAGACTGTTTATCTTTCAACAATGCTTCAATGAGCACACCATTACCGTTCTAGTTTCCAAAATGTGTCAAGAAATATCAGCCAGTGATGAAACCGAGAGCAGAAAATCACTTCTAGCAACAAGCACAAGAAACAACTCTAGAAGGTTGCACCACCCTCTAAATCTATGATATTTTTGTTCTCTAAAATCGACCCGCCAACCCATTAGACCATGCGAGGAAAATTCAGGTTTGGTGTCACACATTGGCATATCAAGAATGAGAAAAATATATGGTCGGAGCAGAACAATCAAGATATGAATTAAAAGTGAAGCTAAGAAGTAGTTGAAAATGAAACACATAAGCAGAGGAGTGAAATGCAAGCGAAAAATGAAAACTCAGCTTTACCAATTGAATATTAAAAAAGAAAACTAAACTTGTAGACCAAGAATACTCTGTAAGTTATATATATATATATATATATATATGTATACATATTACTTACACATGGAATAACTACATTCTACCAACCAAAACAGACATCGGTTCTGACTCGATCTTGAGCTTTCTGGGTTTCCATTGTCAAAAGGGAAGGGTATATGAAGATGGAGCAAAGAAGAAGAAATATTTCAGCAAAATGCTAACCTTTTTAGTTTATTTTTCGGTTGGTTTGTTGGATTTGGCGGGCCCTTTCAACCAACTAAAGCTACAAAACAGAAATTGGGACTATGACCCTCTGCTAGAATGTAATTTGCTGATATGGGCTTTAGCCCAAAAAAATTAAACAAAACATGCGACGGCTGGACTGTTAAAAGAAACAAAAAGAATGAGGGAATTGGATATACCTATGAATAATTCTACTCTTATCACATTTATATATCATATCTTTATATCATCTTATGTGGCAATTGAGGTGGACAACCACATCAATTAAAATTATTTAATATTTTCTTTTCTTTTATGATTTATTCCAGTATTTGTTTTTCTAATTGCCTTAATTAAAATACACTTCATTGATTTAATTAATGTAACATATAATATGGACATGCCACATCATGTGGTATAGAAATATGGGATAAAAATGTGGTAAGTGTAGCATTACTCTATATCTATATACAATATTTGAAGGGAAAACCAAAAACCAAAACTAACACTTGACATCTCCTGCACCCTTCAAAAACTTGATCTTGATTTTGTTGAGTGTGGCTACAGCATCTTGAATACTTCTCTTCTCTTCTGGTGATTCTGCATAACATTTTAGGGCTAATCTCATAATGGATGATAAACAATCCCTCTTGCTCACAAAATCATCATCATCTTCCTCTGTCCTAAGTAAATTGGCATCCACAACTTCATCTATCATTGCATATGATAATAGTGAATTTGCAATCCATTGCTTTAAACTAATTTCCCCAACAAACATCTCATCTGTTGGCTTCCTTTTTGTGAATATTTCCATGAACACAATACCAAAACTATACACATCCCCTCTTGTTGAAACTATTCCTTCCCTTCCATACTCTCATGCAACATGTGAATTTTTAAACATTATATAATATATAATGATAAGACCAACTCAATTCCTTCATAAAGACAACATAAATATGAAAAATTGAAAGATAGCTGCAATATTAATCACCTGGACCAGCCGCACGGCTATACTATTTGGGGGAAAAAAAAAACCCAAGTGTAGCCGAACGGCTATACGATTTGTAAATAAAAAAGGGACCCGCCTAGCGCCTAGTAAAATCAATTATAGCCGCGCGGCTATACTTTTTTTTTCTAAAAACATATAAAACCATAACCGCTACAACGAAAAATACCTTCCTACCATGGGCACTCTGCTTGGCCTCCTTGTGTGACTAAATTTCTGGCTAGCAAGGAGCAATATAATACCCACATAAAAACCAAAGAAAAGCATATTCTTAGAGCCTTAACGTACTCGTCGCCACACCACCAGACTATAGTTCTCATTGCTTGCTTGGGCTAGTCAGCTATAGTAGGAGTTTTACCAGCTTCATTAGCATCTCCACCATCACATTTCTACAATCACAGAGGCAAGTTATAAAAGTATTAGTACAACATAAAACTTGGAAAGCACAATTTGGTATTACCTCTGCCTTTATTGTAGGTGGCATCGCAGGAAGAGAAATTTTGTGATATACAATCCTCATGTTACAGTCCCGAAACATTCCATATTTTCCGAAGCAGATTCGGTCTCCCCACAACATTCCCTTATAACACCTGATATTTGGGAAGCTTTTCGTCTTCTTCTCTATCACTTGAATGATCACGACAGGATCAAAATCCATCCCAATTGAAATTCCAGCATCCTCAAGCATCTTTGTCACATTAACGTCTTCATAAAACTTAAATGCTAAGTTGAAATAGTCTTCAGCAAGCAGATCAGTGTATTTATTTACCATGCTCTTTCCACTGTCTTTCCCAAAAAAATTTACTCTCAGTCAAATCCTTCGCTGTTGGATTTGGCCAGTACTCTTTCATCTTGACAACACAAGTTGTCTCCTGCAAAAATTAAGACAGAGGTGTAAAACTGAAAAGATATAATGATGAACAAAAAAATAAAAAATGAAAAATAGTGCTCAAGGTTATCGACGTTCACGAAGTATATACAATACTGCAATTTTAAACTGTTCGCCATCAAATACTCTTTGGGCATTTGAAGCTGATCCGCACTTCGGACGCGCATTAAAATCATTATATATTGGCCATAGACCATTGATGATAAATTTCTGTGCGACGGGCTCATAGCAATTACATCTAGCAAGGTATTTCTTTCGCATGTAGTAGGTATTAGGCCGAGTCATCAATAAGGTGTAAAATTCGAAATCATAGTAGTTGCCGTATTTGCCAGCAGCACACTTGGGGTGGAATAGGAGGCAAGGCAACTATATCAATTTCACAAGAATCAGCATTAAACTTTCAAATGCTTTGCACCCATTATACTAGTTGTTTCTTGGAGAGCATCAACTATATCCATCATGAAAGAGAAGGATCACATAATAAATATATTGTAGGACCTTGCAAGAACTCGGTGGCTACAATTCAATTAACATTGTAAATACCTCTAAAATAGACTTAATAGAACAGACGGACTAAACGATGCGAGCTAGTTTACTACTAAAGGCACTGGTCTGTAGCCCAACCCAAACATCAACATTATATGGGTTCAGGGTAATCAATTTCTTATTTTCAGAGTTTGGCAAATAATTTAATTTTTGTGATGTAATGTATACTTTTATTTCTAGAAAAACTATAGAAAATAAGTATTAAAAAAAAATATCATTCGATTGGGTCGGTGAAACGGAAAACCATTAATTATTTGTTCTATCCATAACTTAAGCAACGATCAAGACAAAAGTCTCAAAAACCAAGCTTGTTTACACACACAGAGAGACCAACAGATAGGAAGGGAGGCCTGGTTATTGTAATCAGTCGTTTCTTGCCTCCTCTGATACCATACCAAGTAAAAGAGTCCTGACATGGGGTAAGCATTTGAAAATAAGGAAACAGACGAAGAACCAAGAACGTATTTGTGGAATTCAAACTTCTCTTCACCATTAACTTGAATACTGAATACAATTTAAATAGCAAAATAAGAAAGCAACTACGCTAAATAATAGGATCAACTAATGGACGACTAAACCATGACATTCAGCCACTAACCATGACTCCATGACAACTTGGACTCTCCGATTAACTAGCAACTAAACAACCAAGTCCCTAAACAATAGGACTTCCACAACTTAACAAGATAATCATAAACCTAATAAATAGAAGAATAAATATTCTTTACAAAGCAGCGGCAAAGCACCCAAGAGGCCGTAGTTGCAGGCTTGCAGCAACCACACCAAGTAAGAAGCATTGAATTTCCATCTATATATTATTGTCTTTAAAATTTAAATAAAATTATACCAAAACAAAACGGCATGAAATATATGTCATAGGATAGGATCCATTAATTAAAGCGCTGAACAAGAGGGCGGTTTATTTGGGCGGCGCTAGGCGGGTCTGGGCGGCGCTAGGCGGGTCTGGGCAGCGCTAGGCGGGTCTAGGCGGCGCTTGGCGGGTCTGGCTGCCAGGGTGTGTCTGGTTCTTCTCTTTTGTTCTTTAAGCCTACTGCCTAGCGATTTTTCAAACTTATGCACTGCAGGGCTGCGCTGGGAGGGTCTGGGCGGCGCTGGGAGGCTCTGGGAGGCGCTGGGAGGCTCTGGGAGGCGCTAGGTGGGTCTGGGAGGAGCTAGGCGGGTCTAGGCGGCGCTAGGCGGGTCTAGGCGGGTCTAGGCGGGTCTAGGCGGGTCTAGGAGGGTCTAGGCGGGTCTAGGCGGGTCTAGGCGGGTCTAGGCGGCGCTAGGCGGGTCTAGGCGGCCCTAGGCGGGTCTAGGCGGCCCTAGGGGGCGCTAGCGTGTCTGGGTGCCAGGGTGGGTCTGGTTCTTTTCTTTTGTTCTTTTATCCTACCGCCTGGCCATTTTTCAAACTTCATCTATCTTTGCTGAGGCCTTGTGTATTAACTGAGGAGCCCGACTTATGTCCCTCAATTGTGTACTGTGTGCTGTGGCTGTAATTTCAAAACTGTACACATCCCTACTTGTTGAAAGCATTCCCTCATGTTGCAGTTGCCTAAATCAACAATTTCAAGCTTTGTTGAGAGATTCCCAAAGAAAACAGGAAGCTTTGCAGTTATCTCCTACAAGATTGTTGCAGGTCTGGAACCCCAGTGCCTATGTCTGCTGGGAGGCTATTCTGAGAGCTGATTACTAGATAGAGAAATAAATTTTATCATGGATAAATTAAAGATTCTGGATGCGATGACACCATTGAGATTATTAACATGGAGTGCCAAACCCTGTAAGTTGAGACAACAACTTTGATAGATTTTCTTTGGGTTCCTCCCAGGCAGTTTCTTTCAAGTAATGCGTGAGATTCATTGATTGACTCTGGACAACCATTGAAGAAATTTTGATCATTACAGCCATAGTTCGGCTTGTAGCATTTTGAATCATTATCTTCCTCATACAGTTTAAGCCTGATGAAAAGAGAGCTGCCCAAAAGAAACAGAAACAGGAAAAAACAACTGGATGAAAAGGACAACATATTAAGCCTGATGAAAAGAAAACTACTGGACGCCTCCATTGTCCTTCAAAAGCTTATTCTTGATTTTATTGAGTGTGGATACAGATTCTTGCATATTAATCCTCTGTGCGGGTGATTCTGCAGAACAAGCGAGAGCTAATCTAATGGTGGATGATAAGCAATCCCTCCTGGTCTCAACATCATGATTCTCCTGCTAAAATTTCCCTATTGAGCTCAAATTTTGGTACAATACACAAAACTAATAGAGGAACAACTTCCATGAACAATGGTGTTTGATTAGAGGACCAGAAATTAAGCCACGAAGTGTGTACAGTACCCAAAACAAAGTACACAGAGAACTATATGCAAGGAGTGGAGAGAAGATGACTAGACTTGGGTTTAGGGAATGCAATAGATTGTGGATTGGAATTTAGAGAGGCCCTCCTCGTATAGTATTCCGTGGGCTGTTAACATGTATCTTTTTTTAATGATTTTTTTAGTGATTTTTAAACGTGACAGTTTGGAACTGCTTCAGTTTGTGTGCTGCAGAAAGCAATATGAAATGTGCGTTGAGCACTTGGAAGGCCATAACTTGGAGCTCAATTAACCATTTTGCGAATGCAAGCACTCGTTTTGACACGTTTTTTCGTGATCTATACACTGGGAAGGAGAAGAATTATTTTTTAGGACAGGTTGGTAGATGAACTGGCCCCCTAAAGTTGCTGTTAAAACGAGTTCAAACTATGAAAGGTCATAACTTTGCGCTCGGGTGTCCGTTTGGGGCAATTTTTTTTTCTTTTTTTGATTCATGTATCTTTTCTTGATCTAGGACATCTTCCCAATGTAACAGCACAGACAAGTTTTCCTTAAATTTTCTTAATGTCATGCAAACTAAACTTCAATTTTAAACATAAGAGACAATAAGTGATGGGCGGACTCATTTTTTAGGGGTCAAAAAGTTGTATTACAGTAGCAATATAGTATGGAGAGTGGTGTTCAAGTACATATAAGGAGCAACAATATTGAAATGTTTAATATTAGATGGGTTGGTTTTTGTTTTAATTATTAACTTCAAGGTCCATGGTTCAAGTCACAAAGAGGGAACACTTGGGTTTTTTTTTAAATATTAGGGAATTTCTTGGGCACTTCTTGGGCATGTGTTGAATGGGCATGTCTTGGGCATGCCTTGAATTGGGCATGCGCGGCTATACTTTGAAGATATTCTATTTATAGATTAATAATAATTAAATTAATCAAAGACTTGGGCCTTGGGGCTCTTGGGCTTTGGAGAAATTTAATTAAGACACCCAAAATGAAAATAATTTGTTTTATTTTTTTTTTTTTTTTTTTTTGTTTTTTTTTTTATCCTTTCAATTTAAATTTGAATGAAATTAGGTTTGAAAATTGCACAAAATAATTTAAAATAATTAATTACTATTTATTGACCAATTTATGAAATAAGTAACATATTTAAATATTCACTGAAGAAATAATAATTAAAACATAATTACTAATTAAGGTAATTCAAAAGGGATAAGATATTACTTAATTACATATATTAAATTAAGAGTAATGCTACACTTACCACATTATTATCCCACATTTCTATACCACATGATATGGCATGTCCATATCATATGCCACATCAATTAAATGAATGAAGTATATTTTAATAAATAAAATTAGAAAAACATAAACTAGTATTTTACATGATGTGGTATGTACACATCAGCTGCCACATCATGTGGTATAAAAATAGTGGTAAGACTAGTATTATTCTTAAATTAAAGAAGTTGGCCAAAAACAAAAGTAAAGAAACGAATTTTATATTTTTAAAATTAAAAAAATTAAAAAAATAAATAAATAAACACTTCTCTCGACGAAATTTCGTCAGGAGAGGTCTTTTAAAAAATATATATATATATATATATAAACATAGGATGTTTAGGTTAATTAATTTTTAAAATTTTATTGTTAGTAATTAAATAATATATTTTTCTTATTTAATTAATTAAATTAGTAATTATATTTTAATTATTATTTATTTCGTGAATAATTAGTATTAAATTTTTTTAATTAACTTCATGAATTATATTACTAAATAAATAGTAATTCATTTTTTCTTTTTTCTTTTTTCCTTTAATATTCACTAAGTAAAACATAACTACTAATCAAAGTAATTAAAAAAGCGAGCTACTTAAAGGGTATAGCCGCGTGGCTGGACTTTTAAAATATTTTATTTTTTGGAGTACAACCACGTGACTATACTGTGAAGATATTCTTTTGAGGCACCCTTTGTGAACACCTCACATCGAAAATCCACAATCCTATAAATGTCCTTATAAACAAAGCACTATGGTGGTTTGGTAAGTGTGGTTAACATTGGAGAGTTGTGGTAATGGGCTTGGCTATAGGCTCGGCTTTGGATTTGGCACTGATTAATAATAATTATATTAATCAAAGACTTGGGCTTTGGGGCTCTTGGGGTTTGGAGAAATTTAATTAAAACACTGAAACGAAAATAAGCAATTTATTTTTTTCGTTTTTGACATATCCTTTCAATTTAAATTTGAATACAATTAGGTTTGAAAATTGCACAAAGTAATTTAAAATAATTTTATTGAGCAATTTATGAAATAAGTAACATATTTAAATATTCACTAAAGAAATAATAATTAAAATATAATTACTAATTAAAGTAATTCAAAAAGGATAAGATATTATTCGATTACGAATATTAAATTAAAGAAGTTGGACAAAAAAAAAGTAAAGACACAAATTTAATATTTTTAAAATTAAATAAAATTAAATAAACACTTCTCCTGACAAAACTTTGTCGGCACAGTTTTATACCGACAAAAATTTGCCGGATTAGGTTTTCGCAACGAAAACACCTCTTCCGACGAACTTTCGTCGGGAGAGGTCTAACAGACCTGTGCCAACGAAATTTCATCAAGAGAGGTCTTTTAAAAAAAATATATATATATATATATATAGGGGGGCGAATCCATGACACTATATTTTTTACACAAATTTTCAACTATAAAGCAAAAGGCAGAGAATGGTGAAACATTCAAAATACCAGAAAATGCCCTTGGTTAATTTAAACATTAAGAATTAAAATTATTAATTAAATGAGGATAATATGGTAAATTCACATTTTTTTCATATTAAAAAAATTAAAATTAAAAACAAAATCATATAATAAATCCTACTTTTATGGAACATAACTACCAATATTATCTTTTCTTAATTCTAAAAATAAAATATAAAATAAAAAAGAAAACAAATGGCACATGTTTTTTTTTAAACATAAACACTTCTCCCGACGAAATTTCGTTGGCACACGTCTTTTCCCAAATATTTACCGGATTAGACTTTTGCCGACGAAAACTACCTCTGCCGAATTGTTTATTCCCTTTTCCCAGGTACAGAGGAAGCATGTCTATGAACTTAGACAGTCCATTTTAACTGGTGATAATGAAAGTTGTTCCCAACACATATTCCAGTAAGTTTCTGAGTCTCACCAACTTCATTCTCGCAGCCATCTAATTTATCACCCAAATATAGTAGCATTTTGTGTGTTACTTAAACTTCTTAATTAATAAACATTCACTATTCTAAACATTGTGTCAGTACTTCAAATGTATTGCTATATTTTGAACTAGAATACAGTAGGTAATCAGTTTACAGTAGCATGCTTGTTCGTACAGACACTTGGATATCGGGGAAAAATTCAAAGCAATAGACATCGAGAAAAATGGTTTTACCTGGTCTAAGGAAGATTGTTGATAACTAGTTTAAACTTCTTTGTTTTTAGTATTTAGCGATGTTACAAATAAATTTAGAAAGTGTGGCCCAGAATGCAAAACTGAGTCATATCACCTAAAGGTAGCTGAGAGGATCAGTATATATTACAATCTGAAGCACAGGAAAATGTGAGGTTGCTAAGTGTGACAACATCCAAAACAAATTATCAATGTACGAATGCCTTTGTGTTAAAAATAAATAGACAGTGTATATTAGTAAGCATGCCTTTGTATTACTGATTGCTGCGACCATATCTTGCTTGGCCTGTTTTTCATATTTTAATATTTTATACATCTTTGCTTTATTTGATAATAAATCTAGCTGAGTTTCATATTCTTGTTTTTACTAAATTCTCCTATTTGATTTAACGTGTTAATTGACTCAATGGAAGTCGATAATTGGTACATGCAAGAGTGACAGATGAAATTGTCTTTGCAAATGTTAACGCACTGAAGGTATTATGAGATTTTCAAATAGGATGTTGTATACTGCTGTCCACTTATTCATCTTACTGATTCCCTACTGCTTAATAGCATCCAAGAAATTGGAGTATGGGTAAGCTTTTGAAGGAGTTTATGACAATTTCTGGGAAACTACTGGATGGTGAGCTGATACATTATTATCCTTATCCTGCATTTCCTGGTTTGTTTGACATAAATTCTTATGGAATGGATATTCTCCAGATTCATTTGCAGGAATTACAGAGAAAGCTTTATTAAAATCTCTTGCACACTCACATGAACTAAACTCTATAGATCTTGATGACATTCACCTTCCAAACTTGCCAAGACCGCAAAAGGCCTTCAGAGGAATCCGCAAGAAGAGCTCTTCATTGAAACGTTGGCTTGCTATATGCTCTGATGATTTGACTAAGTGAGTGAACTCTGCGCTTGTGTGTGCGCATAATTTCATCTGAAAACAGAGAGCAGTTCTGGTGAAAACCCAACTGTGTGACCATCTTGTAAACATGAACAGGCTCAGCAGCCCATATACCCAACTGTGTGAATTATATTCATGTGTATGTGATTTTGTCAAGTCTTAGATTTTGAGATATTGTCATGTATCCACTTTAAAATAGAAATCAAACTTTTTTTACAGTTGGATTTATTTCTTAATTTTTATCTTATGAAATAATATTAAGAAATTTGAAAAACTTCAAACTTCTCTTCACCATTAACTTGAATACTGAACAACTAATGCACGACTAAACCATCACATTCAGCCACTAACCATGACTCCATGACAACTTGGACTCTCCGATTAACTAGCAACTAAACAACCAAGTCCCTAAAGAATAGGACTTCCACAATTTAACAACATAATCATAAACCTAATAAATAGAATAATAAATATTCTTCACAAAGCAGCGGCAAAGCACCCAAGAGGCCGTAGTTGCAGGCTTGCAGCAACCGCACCAAGTCTGGGAGGCGCTGGGAGGGTCTGGGAGGCGCTAGGCGGGTCTGGGCGGAGCTAGGGGGGTCTAGGCGGCCCTAGGCGGCGCTAGGCGGGTCTGGCTGCCAGGGTGGGTCTGGTTCTTTTCTTTTATTCTTTAAGCCTACTGCCTAGCGATTTTTCAAACTTATGCACTGCAGGGCTGGTCTAGGCGGTGCTGGGAGGGTCTGGGCGGGTCTGGGCGGAGCTAGGCTGGTCTGGGCGGAGCTAGGCAGAGCTAGGCGGGTCTAGGCGGCGCTAGGCGGGTCTAGGCGGCCCTAGGCGGCGCTAGGCGGGTCTGGGTGCCAGGGTGGGTCTGGTTCTTCTCTATGCTGAAACCACTGATTTCCATCCTTTCTGCTGTGTTATATTTGGTCCAGTTGTTCTTATACAAATAATTGGGAAATAAATAAAAACTCTTTTCGAAAAGGGGGAAAAACGGTGGAGAATTTAGGTTAATATGAAATATGGTATGGAGAGCAAATATGAAGAACCTTCATGAAAAAACATGTTATTCTGCAGTCCATTATACTTAACATGCTAGGGAAGGCGCTCGAACTTTTCATACATGGAACCTAACTGAAATCATCAATGCTCATATTCTATTAGGTGAACAATATATACCATTCGAGATTCTTTTCTTTGTTTGTAATTTGCAGATAATAATTATAGGGAATTGGCTTGGGGTGCTTTAGATGATGTTGTGATGGGTGGAATTAGTGAAAGTACATTTCAGATTGATCCAAACGGTGGTGAAAATGGTGGACCAACTGGAATTTTTAAAGGTATGATCTTTTCAAACTTTAGAACTTGTGTCTTTGTATTGCGTTCTCACTGGTGATTCTATTAGAATTATTCATATTTGGATGGGTTTAGTTGAAATTTATTTATTTGGTATGTCTCTTCTCCTTCAGGGGTTGTTTCCACTGCAAACAATGGTGGTTTTACCAGTATCAGAACAAAGGTAAAGAGCAACGTTTTCTTGTGACTTGTAAATATCTTGTGCATAGAATTTTTTGCTGTTCCCTGAAGTTGGTCAGTTGCTTATCATCTAGTGATGAATATGCTTGTATCTAGAATCTATCAACAGCTGAGGATCTCTCTGCATATGATGGTTTGGAGCTGCGCCTTAAAGGTGACGGTCGTCACTATAAACTAATTGTTCGCACAAGTCGTGATTGGGATACTGTTGGTTACACAGCAGGCTTTGACACTGTTGGAGACCAGTGGCAGACAGTAGGTAACACACTAGCTCCTTGATCGACATTAAAATTGTAGTTACATATCTCAAACTCCATTAGTAATCTGTCACATTTTTTTCCAGGTACGTTTGCCATTTTATTCTTTGAAGCCGATATTTCGAGCAAGAACTGTGTCGGATGCACCACCTTTTGACCCCAGCAATATTGTGTCATTGCAGCTACATTTTTGCAGCCACTTTCTTTTAGTCTATTCTTTCACTTCATTTTCTTCTATGTTTATTGATGGGATTCAAAATTATGGCAGCTCATGTATAGCAAGTTTGAATATGATGGGAAACTGAATCCTACTTTTGTGGAAGGGGCATTTAAACTCCCATGAAGAGGAGATAGGAGGATGTGGCCGGTTATTATTGTAAGGTAGAATGTTAAGCATAAAAAATAAAATAAAAAATAGAGTTGAGTTGACCCTGCAAGTACCTTTCAAATTGTTGATGCCAAGATGAATCTCGGTAAGCTGGGTCAAGTTCCCAATATTTTTGGGTATGTTTCCAGTCAAATTGTTTTTATTCAACTTTAGTACAAGAAGTTGTGTACATTGCCATAATTGTTTTTATTCAACTTTAGTACAAGCAGTTTATGAATACTATATAATGCTCTGCAACAAAATACCGAGTCGTATAAGAATAGCATACCTTTGAAATTGTTGGAGTCAAGATGTATCTCCTTGAGCATTGTTAAGTTCCCTATTTCTCTTGGTATGATGCCACAGAAAAAGAAGAGAGAAGGAAAAACAAAAGAATTAACTAATGTTAAATGGTAATAATCAATTCCTAGATAGCTGTTTGTTGACTCGTACCTGATAGTTCGTTATTGCCCAAATCAATTGTTTGCAATGCAGATAAGTTGAAGATAGCAGTGGGTATGGAACCTGAGAATTGATTATCATACAAGTCAAATGTTTGAAGTCATGAATTATGTGGAATATCAGTAGTTCTTGTCTTTAGAGTGGAATATCAGTACTAATACGAATACTAATACTAAACATGTTGGCCATAAATTAGTTCTTGTCTTTAGAGTGATAACCGACCAATAAAGTATAAATTCTTGAGATGGTAAACAATATTTTCTGTGTATTCAAGATAGTAGTAACTAATAAAGTAGAAGTTGTTGGTTGATTTGCATTGCTCTGATTTCTAAGCATATTAAACATCAGAAGCTAGAGAGTTTGACTATTAGACAGAGATAGGTAATCAGCTAAGCTCTCCAGCATGTACACACCTTGGAGTTCCGCAATGCATTTTCTTATTTTAATTAGTTGGATAGATCCATACAATTCTTTGTAACTCAAATCTTAGACATTCAAGATAAGCTACAAATGTAACTTGCCTACTTCTTTGGCAAAAGAAATATTATAACAGTTCTTTGGATGAGAAGAAAAAATATATAATTAATGGGTGTTAGACCCCGATTGGGATTGCTTTTTTGGCCAAAAACCTGCTTCACTTTAAAGTTAAGCAGTTTAAGCCTAATGAAAAGAGAGCTGCCCAAACAAAACAGAAACAGGAAAAACAAAAGACGGAGAGGCTGCAATGTTATTTATATGATTTTAGTATATACCATGAAAAGAAAATCACAAATTGACCTTCTTAATCATTAAGGACAACATATTAAGCCTGATGAAAAGAAAACTACTGGATGAAAAGAAATCACAAGTTGACATTTATCATGATGATGAAAAGAAAACTACTGGACACCTCCATTGTCCTTCAAAAGCTTATTCTTGATTTTATTGAGTGTGGCTACAGATTCTTGCATATTAATCCTCTGTGCCGGTGATTCTGCAGAACAAGCGAGAGCTAATCTAACGATGGATGATAAGCAATCCCTCCAGGTCTCAACATCATGCTCCTGCTTGGTCTTCCCAAGTAAATTGGCATCCACAACTTCATCTATTATTGCATCTGGTAATAGTAGTGAATTTGCAATCCATTGCTTTAAACTCATTTTCCCAGAGAACATTTCATCTGTTGGCTTCCTTCTTGTAAATGTTTCCATCAGTACAATACCAAAACTGTATACATCCCCTCTTGTTGAGATTATTCCTTCCGTTCCATACTCTGCAATATTATTAATTACATATATATAATGAAAAAAATTGTTGACCTTCTTCACAAATTAAGGACAAGATATAGAATTGAAAGATAAACTAGCTTTGCAATCACTCACCTGGAGCCATGTACCCAATTGTGGCTAGAGTCATGGTTTGGGTTGTAGAATCTCCTAAACCCACGAGTTTAGCAATGCCAAAATCAGCAACATGTGCAACCATATCATCATCTAGAAGTATATTGCTGGGCTTCATATCACAATGGACGATAGGTACTGAATTACCATGGTGTAGGTACTCCAATGCTGACGCAACGTCTATCATGATGTTCATCCTTTGTAACATATTCAAAGAATAGTTTTCTGAATACAACCACTTCTCGAGGCTCCCATTTGGCATGTAATTCAATACTAAGGCTTTGAAATCAAGTTCACTGCAACAGCTGATGATTTTGATAAGGTTTCGATGACGAATATTGCTTAGAATTTCACATTCCCTATCAAAACTCTTGAAAGCCCCTTCTAGCTGTAAACTGAAAACCTTTACTGCAACATATGTTCCATCTGAAAGTGTCCCTTTATATACTGAGCCAAAACCCCCACTTCCAAGTAAGTTGTTTTCAGTAAGTCCATTTGTTGCCCTTAGAAGATCTAGGTGTGAAACTCTTCTCCAAAGAAGTTGAGGCAACGAGTTTGCCTCTCTTGCAACTTCCACGTTCTTTTTCCTGCGTAGTACAAAGATAGATACGGAGGCCACTAGGAGAATAACTGATATGATCCCTAGGATGATATATTTAGCTTTCCTCCAATTTGGTTCAAGTGTACCATTTTTGCATGGTGGAACATGGAGTCGGGGTGCACCACATAGTGCCTTGTTCGAGACAAATGATTGAGCAGGGAAGTTTTGGAAGGGTCCACCTGTTGGAATTTGTCCTTGGAGCCTGTTGAAGGACAAATCCAGATACTTGAGATGTAAGAGAGCTTCTAAAGAATTTGGAATCACTCCAGACATACTGTTTCTGGATAAATCCAACAGTTCCAAGCTTAGCAAGTGGTTAAATGAACTTGGAATAGGGCCTTCCAAATTATTATTTGCCAAGGACAGATTAACCAAATCTTGAAGACCCCCAATGGTGCT